AGCATGAGCATGAGCAGTGAGCAGCCCCTCCCTAAACAAAGTGAAGCGCAGGACGGGGTCCGGTGGATGGGAGGCAAGGAAACGCGGGGGGTTGCCACGTGCGCTACCGCCGCCGCCGCAGGCAGCACCCCTGCGGCGGCGGCAGCGGCAGCAAGCCGTGGACCCAAACGCCGTGCCGCCGCCGCCGCAGGCAGCACCCCTGCGACGGCGGCGGCAGCAAGCCGTGGACCGAAACGCCGTGCCGCCGAGTCCCGTGGCTGTGGCCGTGGGCTTCTGGCAGGAAACTACGGCCGCAACTCGGCAGCACGGGGGCGTCGCAGCGTGCCCCCGCCGCCGCCGCGCTGCCCCCCGGGCACGGCGGCGGCGGCAGCAAGCTTGGGCCCAAACGCCGTGCCGCCGAGTCCCGTGGCTGCGACCGTAGACCGTGGGCCGGAAACTGCGGCCGCAGCTCGGCGGCACGTGGTTCTGTTCAAATCGCCAAGCGTGCAGCAGCGCCGAACCACGCTTCCCGGCCTCGGCGCATGCCTTCAGGGGCCCCCTATCGCTGGGCACACCCCTCCAACACCGAACATGCGCCCGGGGGGGAGGGCGGCCCGGGCTGCCCAGGCCAAAGTGGGCCGCCCTCGAGCAAGAGGCGGCCGGTCTGTGTGCTGAATGAATGAATGGATGCGTACTACTGATGTCTGTTTTTAGGGTTTTTAGGGTTTTTAGGGTTTTTAGGGTTACTTGCTGGGCTTCAGCCCCCGATTGCTGGGCGCATCCAGCACGCCCATCGTCCAGCTGGCCTGCAGCCGGCGGGGCGCCCAGCACCGGGTGGCGGCGGAATGGAATGACGGGAGGCAGGCGGGGCGGCTGCTCTCCCGCCAGCTCAAGGCAGCAAGACACCCGGGAAGGCAATGACCTGGCCAGGCACTCATGGCTCATGCATTACACAAACCGTGGAGGGCATCAGGCAGCGCTGGCCTGCTCGGGTGCTTACCAGCGCCGTAGCAAAGACCTTGGCTGCCACAGATTCCACATTCACGTTGGCAGCGCCCTCGGGCTCCGCGAAGGCAAACACCCTACCATCGCTCTCGCCCGTCACAAGCTCAGTGGAGGCTGCATGCCGGCGCAGGCATGGAGGTGTCATGGTGCGCCGCTTGCTTCCAAGCCAGCCCTGCTAGCAGCCCTGCTAGCACTCCCTCCCATGCACACATCACACATGGTGGCAACTGGAGGCGAGAGTGGATGGGATGCTGAGCGGCCAAGTCACAGACCTGACGAGAAGGCTTGCACCATCTGTAACGCCACTGCCGCGTCTACTTCATTGGAGGTGGCGATTGTGTTGATCGGCGCGCTAGCAGCTGGATCCTGCTGCAGCTGCCGCGTGGCCTGGGCGGCAGCCATGCCGGCAAGCACCGCCATCGCAAACAGCAGCCGCGGCAAGGTTGCCCGGCGCGCATCGCTGGCTGCTGCCATTCTAGATGGAAAGTTAAAGTTCAACTATACCTGCAGAACCATGTAAAGCCAACATCCACTGGGTGTCAGGGCCCAGGAGGGGAAGGGGCTTTGGCTGGCGGCGGGCACTGACGGCGAGGGGTGGGGGCCAATGCAGCGTGTGTAACTGGCCGTGACAGAGCCCTCGAGACCGCAGGCGGCGCCTGGGGCGGCTGGCGGGGGCTCACCGGCACTCGCGGCTCGATCTCTGTGTGGGTTGCAACCGCCGACAACCAGCAACGCCTTGTCCACGGCGACCTATCATCCCCGAATGTATGCACGACCCTTAAAAGCCGAAGGAGAGGACCTCGGACGCAGGAAAATCCTCTAGGAAGTAGCGCCTGCCACGTGGGCGACCCACCCACCCTTGGACTGCGGCTCAGAGCCCGAATTGCCCAATGGCAGCATACATACGATATTTAGGGTAAAGAGCACGCCTCAGGCTGACGGGGAGCAGCCAGGCGAAGGGTGCGCCGGTTGCACCTTGCCCAGCCAGCAGCAACCGGACCCTTTCGCTGCTTGTATAGCGATACTGTCAGCTGCCACCAGCGACAGAAGCAGTCCAATTGGGCGGGGTCCAGCCCATCCTCATCCACATAGATTCTTCGCCAACCGTCCTGGATGCCAGCAAATTCAGCGGCCATGGTGCGCGACAGGGTTGCTTTTGGGCTTGCGGGGTCGATCAATGCCATCGGGAGGTGCTGCAGCACCCACCTACCGCACCATTGATCATCTGCGCTGCCGCCCACCCGCCGCCGCCGCCAGCTGACACCTGGCACCCCCTGGCTTGTTGTGGAGCAGGCGCGCAGCGGCATCTCCAAGCCTGCCATCAGGCCGGCTTCCTTTGGCCAGCGGGCAGCTCTATTGGCGTGCGTGCCACTGTTGCTGCTGCTCGGCCTCAGCGGAGCCTCCGCCGAAGTCGACACAGGTGGGTGGGTGATCGTGCTACGGACCTGCACCAGAGCTGGCGTGTATGCTTGGGCTGCAATCTGGAGCGCGCTCCTTGCAGACAGGCAGTTGAACCTTCTCTTGCAGGTGCGTGGCAGATCAGGTACGACGATCTGAAGCCCACTATCGAGGTCAAGTACAACCACACTTATTACTACCAGGTACAGTGAACAATCGGTCCATGCCTGGCCTTCACGCTTGCCTCGTGCAGCGCCCGCTCTGCGCTCCATCGCTGCGCTGCCTCACGCTTGCCGCCGTGCCGTATGGCGGGCGTGCATCCCCTGGGCTGGCGTTCACCCTGCATGCTTGCCCGGCGCTGCTGCAGGTCCCCGAGGCCCCCAAGGGTGCGGTGGTGCTATTCCACGGCTGTGTCCACTCGGGCTACAACTACTTCCCCCGCAGCGCCGCGTGCCTCGACTGCCGCGGCCTGCCTGAGGAGATGTCGCACACGCTGCAGGCCCTGAACCGGGGCTACGCAGGTGGGGGCCGTGCCACGCTGCTGGCTGGTGGGGTGCGCCGCGTGCGGCGCGCGTGGCTCTGGCAGCAGCTGTGCGCCAGCGGGCTGCACACGGGCGCGTGTACGCACGCCACCTCCTTGTGGTGCTGCCCGCTGCAGTGATTGCCATTTCCTCTGCCGACCGTGACACCGGCTGCTGGTCTTGGGACTCAGACAGCGACGGCGTGAAGGCCCTTGTGCGGGAGTGGCAGCGAGAGCACAGGTGAGGAGGCAAGGCAGCGGGGCGGAGGGCAAGCTGATTGCTGGTACGCATGCCAGGCACAGGCGGCTCACCCCTGACCTGTGAGGCGCCGTGGCGTTAGAGGGCGAAGCAGCAGTGGTGAGGGATCCTGCCATGCTGCCGCAGGCTGAGGGACCTGCCGCTGTACGGGATGGGCATCTCCTCCGGAGCCTCCTTCGCCCTGAAGATCCCACGCTGGCTGAACATGAGTTTGCCGCGCCCCCAAGCAGGCCATTCTTGGCGTTGAGCGCAGCGGCTGCGCTGGGCATTTGCTTCTGCGCAGAGCGCTGTGGCGACGCAGCGTGGCGCCCTGCGCAGCCTCCCTCAAACCTGCCGCCTGCTATGCCGTGCCTGCTGCTGCAGTTCAGCGGCGTGGTGTCCGAGGCGCTAGGGGTCAGACCATCGGACTGGGGGTATGAGAAAGTGAAGGGAGGTGAGGGGGCACAGGCGCCGGCGCTGCCGCATTGCAATTCTTCCATCTCCTGCCGGCTGCAGCGAATGCGCTTGGCAGGCAGCAGCGGTGGCTGGTGGTCGAGCACAGCACCTGCTTCTGCCCGCCTCTGCCAACCCACACAGCGACCCGCACCCTTCCCCTGTAGGCTACCCACCCACCTTGTTTGTGGCGCTGATGAGGGACAAAACCACGGTGGCCAAGATCCTTAGAAACCAAAACGTCCTGACCGCCCTGCACCGCCCGGTGTCTGTCATCAAGGTAGGGCTGCCGCATGCTGTCTGTGGCGCAGCTCTGTGGAGAGGGCGCTGATGCCACGATGTCAAAAGTTTGCTGGTTGAGGCACCTTCTTACTTGCCGCCTGGCCTTTGCTTTCGGTCCAGGTGTACCCCCGCCTCGTCTATCCCACATACTTCTCTGATCGCGACCCACATTCTTTCTCCAAAGGTGAGGCCGTGGTGTGTGTGTGACACCCACCAGCACATGCGTGCTTTGGGCAGGCGCTGCGCTCAGGCGTTTCACCTGCGCCCTCATCCCACCGCCCCCGGCTGCTGCTGTGCAGCGCTGAGCGTGAAGATAGCCAATGGCCTGAAGGCGATTGGAATGATTGACGGCGATGGCGCCGTGCTGCTGGACCCCAGGTGGGTGGCAGGCGGCAGTGTCTGGTCCGCCACCGCCAGGACATTAGCGCCAGCCCCCGTCTTTTGCCAGTTGCTGTCTGCCTGCTGCGCTTCAGCTGCCCGCTGCACTTCAGCCAGCTGCGCTTTCGCTTCAGGGCCCCCGCCCGGCAGCTGCCATTGCGAGCTTGCTGCCGCTGTGGCAGGCTCCACACTGGTGGGCAGGCTCCACGCTGCTGCCACCCCCTGGCGTTGCGGAGCAGGTACACCACAAAGCCGTGGCTCAGGCAGCTCAAGCAGGAGGTGCCGGAGCTCCAAACGGGGCCCTTGACCACCTTCAAGAACTTGTATGTGCCCGACTGGAACGACACAGACTCGACCAACACCAAGGTGGCAGGGGTGAGTCACCGCCACCACCTCTCCTCCATCCATGGCTCCCGCCTGGCCCATGGCAGCGATGGCAGCGACAGCCGATCGCTACATCCGCTCGCTGCCACAGCACAGGAAGACAGCCATCTGCCCGTACCGGTGTCCAGCCGCTGATTTGCTGCTTTGTGTTTGCCTGCTGCCCACCCACCTGCAGGTCTACTCCCTGATGAACCTGGCCTATGCCTACCACGAGATCATCTCTGACTATGTCACAGTGGCGCTGATGTGGTTTGAGAGCGGGTGCGTGCCCGCCTGCCGTGTGCCTGCCTGCATCCGGAGCATAGGCAGCCCGCTGCTTTGCACCTGAGCGTTCATAGCGGATGGTAAGCTGGTGGCTACCTGCGGTGCTGAGGAGGCCGAATGCCAGCCCAGTGCTTTCCCAGGCTTTTTCAACGGCGTGTGGCTTGCTGCCGTCTTCGCAGGGGCAAGGCGGACATCGAGGTGCTGAAGGAGAAGTACAGCTATGGTGTACCGCCTTTGCGGTACCGGCAGGAAACTGCCGAAGTGGCAGAGGATCCGTTGATGCCCATCCTCAGGCAGCGGGCCCAGGGGATCCACCCGCGCTCGACCCTGGAGGTGGAGCAGGTGGCTGTGGTGGCTGGTGGCGAACACGCGCAGCGGCAAGTGCAGCAGCACCTGGAGCTGGAGCAGCAGGAGCGGTCCCAGGAGCAGGAGCAGGCACAGCAAAGCGAGGCAGATGAGGCTGCTGATGATGAGCTGCTGCAGCTGTCCAAGGAAGTTGAGGAGGCACTGGTGGACCCCTCTAAGGAGCTGCCGCTCTCGGTGCCCCTGCCAGCCCACCTGCTGGCCGCAGCCAGGAAGGCCGCCCGCACTGGGAAGCGCGCCTCCCGCATGATGCCTGATCCAGCAGCCGAGGTGGCGCCGCAGCGCAGCGGCAGCTATCTGGCAGCTCTCATAGGTGCGTCGAATGGTTGTAGCCTGCCTTCCTCTCTGGAAGCAGCAAAGGCCAGGCAGTCCCTGATGTTTTCTTGATTTCGCTGACCCCAAACCGCACTCATTTACCTTGCTGCAGGCGGGGCAGTGGGGGGTGCTGCCTTCATGATGGTCATTGCCGCCCTGGCATATGCCCTGGTACGATACCGCCGCTCAGCGGCGGCGCAGGGCGTAGCGCTGGGCGCGGCCACGATGCAGGCCGTGCACCACCCGCCGCCGCCGCACTACCAGGCTCAAGGCGAGTGCGCTGCGGGCGGCCTGTGCCTGCTGGGTGCTTTCTTTGCTGCCCGTGCCAGTCGAGCGCAGATGCAGGTGCTGCAGCAGGCGCAGCCTGAGGGCCCGCAAGCGCCCCGCCTCGCCCTGCCTCGCCCCGCCTCGCCCAGCCCCGCAAGCGCCCCACTGTGCTGCTGCTCTCCTGGTGCGGCCTGCAGGCGGCAGCGCACGGCTGTCCATCGTTCCCGGCGTCAAGGAGCGGTTCGAGTATGAGGTGGTGGAGCAGACGGGCAGCCCCTTCAGCGCCAGGCGCCGCATCCGCACAGCCTTCAACGACAGCCCCCGCAAGGTGGGCAGCCCTCACAAAAACGGCGGCGTGTGAGCACCGCATGCGAGCACGGGCCGGCTGGCCCCACCACACCTGGTCCAGTGACCCCACAATTGTCTTTCCACCCAGAACCTTTCATACATGACCATATACTACTTTCAGTAGCCCCATTGCCCCGCTATCATGTGTTATTCTCCATTCCTTGCTGCACCTGTCTGCCGCACGTCCCTTGCTCCCTGCTTCTGCTGCAAAGATCTGTCCTCTGATTACCTCCATGTAATGATGCTGCAACTTGCTGTGGTGTCACCCTATCATTGAATGGGCTGAGAGTCTGCAGGCCGCAGGCGCACCACTGCTGCCTACTGGGCATGCATGACCGAGCTGCAAAGCATGCCCAGCAGCCCAAACGCTGCAGGATTTCTTACAGGGAGCTACAAGTAATTGGGTCGAGAGGAGTTTACTACGCGTTAAAGGACCATTAGTAGCATGCAATTGACAGGGTAAAGGCAAGAAGGCGGCATGCATTGGGGTCGAATGCCGACGTTTTGCGGCGCGACGTGTTAATCAGTAGGTGCATCGTGCCTGCATTAAGATTCGTTGGCTGCACGGCTCCTCTTCTGCGGGCTCCTGCTGCGAGCCTTGGGGCTGTCGGCGCCGTTAAACGCCGTCGTGGCACGCCTGCGGGCGCTGTAGGGGCTGCCTGCGGGGCAGGACAACACCGCGGCATGTGCACAGTTACGCTGGTGCAGCAACGGCGCTGCTGAAGCTGGCGGCTTGCAGGCAATCAATCGGCTTGCCTGATGCCGCCACCACCTCAGTAAGGTCCAAGCGCTCCTTGACACCGGGGATGACGGACAGCTTGGTGCCTGCGCCTGCACAGAATGACCTTGCGGCGGTGGCTTGAGGCTGGGGGTGCACATCAAACAGTGCTGGCATGAGTAGACGGGCCGGTCGCAATCAACGGAATGCATGCCAACAGTGCACGCTGGGGCAGTGACCACCATGGCTGGCTGCACAGCCGCACCGGCCATTGAGTCTGGGAGGGGTGGGGCCACGGTTCCGCTGATGCGGGCGCGGGAGCTGCGCCTCCGCATGCAGAAGAAGATCAGGGCAGCCATCAGCAGGCCACCCACCACGCCGCCCACCACGCCGCCTGCAGTGCGGAAGCAAGGGCACGAGGCGCAGTCATCACTGGCATTCGTGGGACGGCTGGATCTGCGACGGCCACCAGCCGCCCAGCTGCAAGGCACTGCACGCAAGGAACAGCCAGACTGGGGGGACTACAGCGGCGGCTTACCAATGATGGCGGCCAGGTTGCTGCTACTGCCGCCAGACTGGTCGTCCTGGGAGGGGGCGGGCGCCCCCGCGAGGGAGGCGGAGATGCTGTCCCAGGTGCTGCAGGCGGTGAAGGCCGGGCAGGCAGGGGTCAGCGGCAGCGGGTCGCGGGTTGGCCTGCCTGCCTGCCTGCGATGGGCACAGCACCGGAAGGGCGCCGTGGATGCTGTTGCTGCTGCAGATGAGCAGCTGGCTTACCCGGAATCCGAGGGCAGTGCGTTCTCTGCATCCTCCGCAGCCCTCAGCAGCTGCTCATCGATAAGTGTGGGCGGTGGCATGGCGGGAGGCGGCCGAGGCCGCGGCGGCTGGGGCTTGGGCGGTGGCGGCTTGGGGCGGGGCGGGGCGGGGCTGGGAGGTGGCTTTGGGGGTGGCGGGCTGGGGGAGGGAGGAGGAGGAGCGCCATACACATAGTTCTCCATCCCCTCTGGAGGCCACCCATACGTGTAGCCATCCTGCAAAGCCTGGATGTCTGCTGAGCCCCTGCAGCCGGCAAGGCAGGCAGGCAGGCGTCCGGATGGTGGCAGCAACGCAGGCTCAGCCGCTGTACCCAGGGAATGGGGCTGGAGGTGAGCATGCGGGGTTGCTGCAAGCGGGAGCTGAGCAGGCAGGGCAGGCAGGCACACACCCGCTCTCAAACCACAGCAGTGCGACTGTGACATAGTCAGAGATGATCTCGTGCTTCGCCCAGGCCAGGTTCATGAGAGAGTAGACCTGCGGCAGGAGGCAGGGATGGGGGCAGGTCGCACGGCAGTGCGCATTGCCAGCGGCCTTGTGCTTGGTGTTGGGCCGGCGGCACGTCGCCGCAGCGAGCCTCTGCCCGCCGCAGCATCTGAGCAGGTGTGAGTAAGGAAGAAGCGGCTGCTGCAGCTCCGAATGCAGCGAAGCACCACTCACTCCTGCCGCATTCACGTCAACGGAGCTGTCAAAGAACTTGGGGACGGTGCGCCCGCCAAAGTCCTGCGTGCTCCCCCCCAGCTCAGGCACAAGCCCTTTCAGCTCCTCGAGCCACGGCCGCTGCGTGTCCCTGCAGCACACAGGGCGACAAGGAGGCAGCAGCGCAGGTTGGAGAGCCTACAGACACACAGCGGGGCACGCGCGGCAGCCGTGCGGGCACCAGCGTACCGCCCTGCGGGCTGCCAGCTTGGCAGTGAGGGGCAGTGCCAGCACGAAGAGAGGCTGGGCTGAGGCTCTATGCACCAACCTGGGGTCCTCTGTCACGTAGCCCTGCTCATCAATCATCCACATCTCTTGCAGCGCAAACGCGATCTTCTCGCTGAGCTCTGCGGCAGCAGGATGGCACAGTAACCGTTTGGTTGCTGCCCTGCCCCGGCGCACGCTGTGTGCCCTGCTGTCGGCGCCCGGCGCTGCTGCGACCCCACCAACCTGAAGCTGGTCCCAGCCCACCCCGTAGCCCAGCCCAGCCCAGCCCCACCTGGTGTGATGTAGTAGGGGCTGCGGTCGGAAAAGTAGGTGGGGTACACCTTGCGGTCCCACACCTGCAGTACCATGGGCAGTACAACGCAGCAGCACTCAAGCCCCGCCCACCTTGCTCCCTACACATGCACAGCCAGCCACCCAAGACATGCCCAGCTCCCATCCATCCCCAGTTCTGCAGTAGCGCCTTTCCAGGCAGCGCCCCGGCCTGCCAGGCAGCCCGCTGCCGCTCGCCTCAATCATTTCGACCGGGCGACGGCGGTCCTGCAGCAGCCGCATGTCTTCACGGAACCGCGGCTGCTGGTTCTCGTCCTTCACCATGTTGATGAAGATGGCGGGAGGGTACTCTGCACCAGCAGGAGCAGGTGGGGCGGAGTGGGGGAGCCAATGCAGGTGGGCAGCCAATGCAGGTGGGCTGGGCTGGGATTTGATACCCTGGGGAAGCACAAATGAAAACGGCACGGGGCGGCGGCGCATATGCCACCGCCATTGCCCCTGCCCAGTTTTGTACCCACGCCAAGGAATGTCAGCCGCAGCAAGCAAGCAACCGAGCAGGGCTCAGCTGAGCTGCTGCTCACTGTCAATCTCATCCAAGCCCCAGGCCGCTGGGTCGATTGCCAGAGCCTCCGACATGATGCCGTTAAACTGCAGGGGTCAAGCAGACAGGCGAGGGGGAGAGAACTCCAAAGGCTCACAGCTCTGTGCTTTGGATGGTGCAGGAGTTGGATGGGTCGGCAGGGACCTCACAGCAGGCAGGTCATAGAACCGCGCATGCATCCCCCTTGAGACGCATCATGCACAGGCAGGGGTTGCTAGCGGCTGGTGCGGCGCGCCAGGGGACCAGGAAGGCGCTCCCACCTTGAGATACCGCGGCAGCTTTAACGCAAAGGAAGCACCCGGAGGGAATCCCATGCCATACAGCGGCAGGGCCTGCAGCCTGCACCACAGGAACGGCAACAACCCCCAGCAGGAGCCCCTCAGGCGAGCGGGAAATGGGGGGGCTGACCAACAACAGCCCCCCCAGGATTCGGCAGCAAGCCCTGACATGGGGGCAGACGCACTGCCGGGCAGAGTTTTCCGGCTGGGGGCAGCAGCCCCTTTGTGCGGCAGCTGCACCGCTGGAAGCCGCTCACCCCCACTCGTTGATCCAGGCGGGCACAATGGCAGCCACAGCGTCGCTGTCTTCGTTCCAGGACCAGCAGCCGATGTCTCGGTCGGCAGAAGAAATGGCCATGACTGCGGGGCAGCAGCCAGACAGAACAACCGATGTGAAACAGATTAGGCGCAGGCGAACAGAAAAAAATGGGCCCACGGGTTTGAGGGAGGTGATGGACTGCAGCTTCCTGGCAGCAGCTGGCGACAGGCAGCAGCAGCAGCAGGGCTAGTCGCTACGGGCAGCACAGCAGCGCTGGGGCACCTGCAAAGCCGCGCCTCAGCGCCTGCAGCGTGTGCGACATTTGCTCCGGCATGCCGCGGCAGTCGGGGCAGGCCTGGCTCTGGGGCCAGTAGTGGGAGCCGGCGCCCACGCAGCTGTGGAAGAACAGCACGACGCCGCGAGGCGAGTCGGGGACCTGCAGGGTCAAACAGCCTGTCAACAGTGGAACGGAAACAAGGTATGCAGCAAGAGCATGTACGATGCACTGCCAAGGCGGGACCTGACCTGGTAGAAGTATTCGTGGTTGTGCTTGTAGTCAGACTGCGGGACGAGGTCCTCGTACCAGATGGGGCGGTCCTCTGCATGGGAAGCAGGAGGCAGGGTGCAGCAGGTCAGCATGTGTGTCGCTGATGGTTGTGCAAATTAGTACAGCCAGCTGGAGATTTGGCTGCACGTGCCAGGTCACTGTGCAGCCTCAACCGACTGCAGCCTTGGCATTGCCCAGGCCCAGAGCCGCCCCCCGGTGCCATCCGGGCATGCTGCGGCCACCCACCGACATCGACTGCGGCCTGAGAGGCACTCGCGGCGAGAAAGGTTGCCAGGACGACCCAGCACTGCCTGCTGCCGCTTGCCACCTGGAAAGGCTGCCAACATTGGAAATGTGTTCGCCATGGATTCTCGGGGGGTGATTGGCGGGTGGGTGTTGCTGGGAAGCTGCCACGGGCGACGGGTTGGGGGACACCCCAGCCTTAATTCTGCCCTTACTGCCCCACCGGCGCGGGTAACGCTGCCTGGGTGATTCAGAATGGTCGCTGCTGCGCTGCACGCACCTTCATGGTCGCAGTGTCACAACCAGATCCTCGGGAGTTGTGACTGGCCCAGCCTCCCTGCTGCTGTCGGGCGCTGCTATGGGAGAAAGATCGCACACGGAGGTGCTTGGAGCGGGCTGCGGGGCTGAAGACGCACACGTCCTTGCTGAAAGAGAAACGTCGGTGGTGGCCGTCCAAGGGCCTCCCCGCCCCCCAAACGCGATGCTGACGCCTGGCCAGATGTGCTGAATGCGACACGAGGCCGGGCAATCACCGCTTTTGGCCAGCAGGGCGGGGGCCGCTGACCTGGCGGGCGCCAGCGGGGAGGCGCCCTCGCGGGGAGTGTATTGCAATATTTCAACTGACAGCAAATAGGACGTGATGAGGCGAGATCAGAGTAAAGCATAAGTGGTTGTAGCACTATGCTGAGATAGATAACAACAGGCCCTCCTGCCTAAGCTACCGCCGCTGCTTGCCGCCGCACCACAGAGCGCAGTCGTACTCCAACACGGCGCACACGGCGCACAGGTGGCGCCGCACTTCGCGCCGCTGCGCCAGCGCCCGCTGCAGCCGCAGCCTGTCGTCGTCAGAGTGCTTTCCAGCCGTCACGTGGTTGCTTTTGGCCAGCTTGTCCTTGCTCCAGTTGCCGACGTCACACGCCTTGGCTTTATCCACCAGCGCAGCGACATGGCGGGGGTAGAAGCGGGCGCCGATGCGCGCCACCCAGGCGCTCCACCGCGACTGCAGGTCCTCATAGCGCAGCTGCAGGCCGCCGGGGTGCAGCCGGAAGAACTGGTATTGCCGTGCCATGGCATACAGGTCTGCGGAATGGGTGGTGGAGATGGCGTGCAGACAATCCTCAGCTCGCTGCCAGTTGGGTGGGAGCGGCCCAGCCCCCGCCCTGCAAGCCGCACCCGAGGCGATCCACGCCATGTGCTGCCGCAGTCAAAAGCGGCCACCCCTGCACGCTGGCACCACCGCAGCAGCGGCAGCGGCAGCGGCAGCAGGCGCGCGGCATGGGGCGCACCTGGCACCGACCGCCAGAACTCCAGCTGGATGCCGACCTCCTCTGGCAGCGTGCGCAGCAGCTCGCCGTAGCTTTGGCTGGCGCCCAGATCCAGCCCCAGCGCCTCCAGGGCCACCCGCGGCACGCCCTCCGCAACCATCGCCAGCGCACGGCGGCGGAACTGCATCCGGGGCATGGCAGCGCGCCAGCATGAGCACATCTGAGCTCGGCAGGTGGCTGGAGGAGCGGAGCACCGCATGCAAGCGCCGCACCTCAACGTCGATCCAGGCCTCTGGCGCCGGCTCCTGCTGGTGGAACCAGTAGGCCGATGTGACCACGTCCCAAGGGTCCCGCACAAAGTGCAGCACCCCCACAGGCACTGTGGGAAAGCTGAAGTAGCAGCCGTCAAGGGACAGGGCAGCCGAGCCGTCACCGGCGCAGGGGAAGCCCTGCAGTGCAGCAGGCAGGACGATGCAGGTGCAGCGCTGGGGATGCTAGCGGTGGGGCCTTTCATGCTGCGCCCTTGGCACAAGGCGGTGCGTGAGAGTGCGGCAGGCCTGCCCAGTGTGGCAGCAGCAGGCTGGGTCGGCTGCGGCGGCCTCACCGGGCGGGGGCACTTGAAGGCCTGCTTAGATGGGCTCAGGCCGTAGCACTCATGCGAGGAGCGGAAGTAGGTGACCAAGAAGCTGGGGCGGCCGGGCGTGGCGCGCCCCGCGGCCGCAACCGCCGCGGTGTCGGAGGCCGTGGTGTTGCTGATGATCTGTGGGCAGGGAGGCAACGGCGGGCAAGCGTGAGGCGCCCGCCGCTGGCGCTGGCTCATGACATGTGCAAGCAGCGGCTGGCAGCGGAGGCAGCAAGATAGCGGCCATGCACGCCGGACAGCTCTGCTGTGCAGCGCTCCTCGCCTTGAACGTGACGTTGGTATCCACAGCCGCCTGAACGGCTTTGCCGAGGCATACCAGCTGCATGGTCCCTGCACAGCACGGCAAGGGCTGGCACATTCAATCCAGGACCATCCTCCCGTCTTCTCATGCACGGGCCACAGACTCCGCCCACCTGTCTTGTGGTTGGCAGAGCCAATCACTGCGGCAACCTGGGCGACACCGCCTTCTCCCTCGGCGGCGGCAGCGGCCTCCCGTAGGCACTGCAAGCAGCAGGTGAGGAGGCAGGCCCAGTCAGGTGGGCACTCGGGCGCCTGCTGGCTGGAAACGCAGGGCAATCAATCCAGGATACGCAGCGGATGTCGCAGGGTGGGAGGGGCTCACAGCAGGGGGCGTCCAGGTTCGGTTGGCCAACACTAGGCACAGCAACAGGATGCTGGCAACGGCCGCAAAGGCTAACCGCCGCAGGCTGACAAAGTTCTGCTGAAACGAATGCGAATCCATCAGGACCAGATTCTGCAGCAAATGAGCCAGGGTCATGAAACATGTGGACTTGATGATGCAGGCAGTGGGGAAAGCATGGCGGTAGCAGCATCAGCAAGATGCCTGCCTCACCTGCCCTGGCTGACTTGGGGGATATCTCGTCCTGCTGATATGTGTGGAAGATCAATGAAGGCGGCGCCGAGCCAGTTGTAGGAGGCTCGACAGACCGGGGCAGAAGGCAGGGCTGCCGCGCTTGCGGGCTCCCGCAGGCGCGTGAGCGAGAAGTTATAACCAAAGCTCAATCACTGTTTGCCCTGTCTCCAGGCTCCTGAACAGCGGCTGGCGGGAGCTGGGTAATGTGCGCGGTAGGGAGTGGCACAAGTGTCGATCGACTGGGAATGAGGTGGGGAAACATAATTGTGCGGTGTCTGGGGCGGACAAGGCGGGGTTGAGGGGTTACCCTCCTGAGGGTTTAAAATTGTGTGCGGTATGGGCGGTATGGGCTGGACACGTGGCACATGTTGCCACGTGTCCAGTCTACAGAGCACCGAGGTGGTGGTGTAGACACACAGTAGGGCGGGGGTGTCTCTCTCTCTAGAGAGTGCTGTGCTTTGCCTGCTGAGGCACCCTCCTCCTTCAAGAAGGCTCTGCTGGCTCACAGCCACTGTTTGGGGCTGTTTGGGCTAGCCAGGAGCCCCAGATTTGACGAGCCCTCCCTCCCACCCAGGGGCTCATCTGTGTGGCACCGATATGCCCCCGTCCTGGCTGACTTGCAGAGCCGTCCAGTGCCAGGTCCCCACAGGCATCGTGTCCTGCGGACGCTGGGAGCAGGGGGAGGCAACATGCGGCTCAGCCACCTAGTAGCCAGAGTGAGCTATACCAGCTGCTGGGAAGGAGCTGCTAATACACCCAATCTATCCATTGTGGCTTGCCCAAGCAGCCCAGAACATTTGAGGCAATTAAAGAGGTGTTTCTGCTGAGAGTTGATGCATGCATGGCTGACGTGTAACCGCTGACGTCACAGCACTCTATCAATTCAGTTGTATTGCAGTATTTCAACTGACAGCATATAGCACGTCATGAGGCGAAACAAGAGTATATGCTTATATATAAGGATAGAGAACAACAGGCCCTCCTGCCTAAGCTACCGCCGCTGCTTGCCGCCGCACCACAGAGCGCAGTCGTACTCCAACACGGCGCACACGGCGCACAGATGGCGCCGCACCTCGGGCTGCTGCACCAGCGCCCGCTGCAGCCGCAGCCTGTCGTCGTCAGAGTGCTTGCCCGCCGTCACGTGGTTGCTCTTGGCCAGCTTGTCCTTGCTCCAGTTGCCGACGTCACACGCCTTGGCTTTATCCACCAGCGCAGCGACATGGTTGGGGTAGAAGCGGGCGCCGATGCGCGCCACCGAGGCGCTCCACCGCGACTGCAGGTCCTCATAGCGCAGCTGCAGGCCACCGGGGTGCTGCCGGAAGAACTGGTACTGCCGCGCCATGGCATACAGGCCTGCGGAATGGGTAGTGGAGATGGCGTGCAGATATCCTCAGCTCGCTTCCAGGTAGGTGGGAGCGTCCCAGCCCAAGCCCTGCAAGCCGCGCCCGAGGCTATCCACGCCATGTGCTGCCGCAGTCAAAAGCGGCCACCCCTGCACGCTGGCATCACCACGCGGCAGCGGCAGCGGCAACAGCAGCAGGGGAGCGGCACGGGGTGCACCTGGCACCGACCGCCAGAACTCCAGCTGGATGCCGACCTCCTCTGGCAGCGCGCGCAGCAGCTCGCCGTAGCTTTGGCTGGCGCCCAGATCCAGCCCCAGCGCCTCCAGGGCCCCCCGCGGCACGCCCTCCGAAACCATCGCCAGCGTGCGGCGGCGGAACTGCATCCGGGGCATGGCGGCGCGCCAGCATGAGCACATCTGAGCTCGGCAGGTGGCTGGAGGAGCGGAGCACCGCATGCAAGCGCCGCACCTCAACGTCGATCCAGGCCTCTGGCGCCGGCTCCTGCTGGTGGAACCAGTAGGCCGATGTGACCACGTCCCAAGGGTCCCGCACAAAGTGCAGCACCCCCACAGGCACTGTGGGAAAGCTGAAGTAGCAGCCGTCAAGGGACAGGGCAGCCGAGCCGTCACCGGCGCAGGGGAAGCCCTGCAGTGCAGCAGGCAGGACGATGCAGGTGCAGCGCTGGGGATGCTAGCGGTGGGGCCTTTCATGCTGCGCCCTTGGCACAAGGCGGTGCGTGAGAGTGCGGCAGGCCTGCCCAGTGTGGCAGCAGCAGGCTGGGTCGGCTGCGGCGGCCTCACCGGGCGGGGGCACTTGAAGGCCTGCTTAGATGGGCTCAGGCCGTAGCACTCATGCGAGGAGTGAAAGTAGGTGACCAAGAAGCTGGGGCGGCCGGGCGTGGCGCGCCCCGCGGCCGCAACCGCCGCGGTGTCGGAGGCCGTGGTGTTGCTGATGATCTGTGGGCAGGGAGGCAACGGCGGGCAAGCGTGAGGCGCCCGCCGCTGGCGCTGGCTCATGACATGTGCAAGCAGCGGCTGGCAGCGGAGGCAGCAAGATAGCGGCCATGCACGCCGGACAGCTCTGCTGTGCAGCGCTCCTCGCCTTGAACGTGACGTTGGTATCCACAGCCGCCTGAACGGCTTTGCCGAGGCATACCAGCTGCTTGGACCCTGCACAGCATGACAAAGGCTGGCACATTCAACCCAGGCCCATCCTCCCGTCTTTGCATGGATGCACTGGCCGCAGCCTCCGCCCACCTGTCTTGTGGTTGGCAGCGCCAATCACTGCAGCAACCTGGGCGACACCGCCTTCTCCCTCGGCGGCGGCAGCGGCCTCCCGTAGGCACTGCAAGTAGCAGGTGAGGAGGCAGGCCCAGTCAGGTGAGCACTCAGGCGCCTGCTGGCTGAGAACGCTGCTGGGCAATCAATTCAGGATATGCAGCGGATGTCGCAGGGTGGGAGGGGCTCACAGCAGGCGGCGTCCAAGTTCGGTTGGCCAACACTAGGCACAGCAACAGGATGCTGGCCACGGCAGCAAAGGCTAACCGCCGCAGGCTGACAAAGTTCTGCTGAAACGAATGCGAATCCATCAGGACCAGATTCTGCAGCAAATGAGCCAGGGTCATGAAACAGGTGGACTTGATGATGCAGGCGGGGAAGCATGGCGGCGGCGGCGGCGGCGGCGGCGGCATCGCCAACCTGCCCACCTGTCCTGGCTGCCTGAGGGGATAGCTCGTCCTGCTGATATGTGCGGAAGATCAATGAAGGCGGCCCCAAGCCAGTTGTAGGAGGCTCGACAGACTGGGGCAGAAGGCAGCCCGCAAGCGCGTGAGCGAGAAGTTGTAACCAAAGCTCAATCACGGTTTGCCCTGTCTCCAGGCTCTTGAACAGCGGCTGGCGGGAGCTGGGAAATTGGAGCTTTTTGCGTGCGGCGTCTGCTGCGCTGCCTGGCAGCCGCTGCGCCGCACACAACCAGCTGCGATCGGCATGCGATCGGCGGTGGATGAGGTGGGCAGAGAAGGAAGCTGGGTCAGCTGTTGCCGGCTGCATGACCCGCTCCTCTGCCCTCCTCCTGCTGACTGGCCGCTCAGCTCAGCCCGCTTCCGATCCCTCCGAAACTGATTGTGGTTGCGGTGATCGGCGAGGCAGGCGCTGAAGTGCCTGCCCATCGGCTGCACTGTGTGGGCACAGCTGCAGGGCTCCAGCCCATGGCCCTCCCAAACTCTGCTTCATGATTCCACCGACAGAGTCACGCATGGTGAGGGAAGGGGACAACAGGGATTCAGCTGCTGGACAATTTGAGCCTGTCCCAACCTGCTGGCACTTGTGCCGCTGGCGCTCTCCTCATCAGCCTGCATCGGCAGCACTCCTTCTTCCCTCACCGATAGCAGCAATTTCCCTCGTGCTGATGCCACGGGAGGGGAGCCCTACTGAGATCTTCAGATCTTCAGATTCTGCAGCTTGGTACCGCTGGTGTCCTGTTCCTCCTCCTCACATGCGGTCTGGCCGTGGCTTTACAATGGGCGCAGCCCGGCAGCAGCCTCAGCAATGGCATTTTGCAAGAGGGAGTTGTGCAATCAAATTCTCAGGAGGAGTGGAATGCTGGGAAAGGGCCAGCATTGGTTGGGAAACAATATGTATTGCTGGCATGGCACCGGCACGGAAGTGTGCCGGCGGCGGAACAGCAGTGAATTTGGAGACTCGCTTGTAGCACACACAGTGACAGTACTTGTCACTACCGTAAGGACACACGTACGCTCAGCGCCCAGAAAATGAACCGAAAAATGGGCTATAGAGCTTGGCAGCTACGCGTCGGTCTCACTGCCGCTCAGGTTGCCGCTGGTGCCGACGGGCGCGGCGGCGGCAGGGCGGGCGGTGCTGCTGCTGGCGCAGCTGCCGCCGATGGATGTGCCCACCTCCTGGTCGCCCAGGATCGCCCGCAGCACGTTGCCGGGCTTGGTCAGGTTGAAGACCACGACTGCGGGGAGGCGACGAGGCACGGGATGCGTGGGCACGATGCGGGACACAAGGGCCTGCGACTGAGGCTCCTCCCTGCCTCGGTCCGGCCGAGAGCCGCCGCCTCCACCCAGCCCCACCCCCGCGCTTGCCCCTCACGGCGCCATGCACCTGGGATGTCGTTTTCCTTGCACAGAGTGATGGCGGTCTCGTCCATCACATGAAGCTCCCGCTCCAGCACGTCGCGGAACGACAGGCGGCGGTGCAGCACGGCGGCCGGGTTGGTCGCCGGGTCGCTGTCGTACACGCCATCCACCTTGGTGGCCTTGAAGAAAGCGTCGGCGTTGATCTCGGCGGCGCGCAGCGCGGCGGCGGTATCTGTGGTGAAGAAGGGGTTGCCGGTGCCCGCGCCAAAGATGACCACGCGGCCGTGCTCCAGGTGGCGGATGGCGCGCCGCCGGATGTATGGCTCCGCGATCTGCGGTACGGGCGGCGACGCGGGCGTGAGGGAGCGACAGCGGCGCCGGCCTCTCGCGGCCGCCCTGCCCAAAGTCCAGCGGCGGTGCTGGCAGACGCCAAGCCGGCAGGCCCGTCTGCGCCTGCCCAACCCTGGGCAGGGCTGGGCCTCCTGCCTGCTGCACACCATCTCTTGCCTCCCGCGCCTGGCAGCCAGGCCGCCGCCCACCCACCCACCTCCTGCATCTCAATCGCCGTCTGCACCCGCGTCTGCACGCCCAGCGCCTCCAGGGCCGACTGCAGGCAGATGGCGTTCATGACTGTGGCAAGCATGCCCACGTAGTCGGCCGTCGCGCGGTCCAGCCCTGCCCAGCGGTCGACGCCGCGGAAGAAGCTGCGGGGCGCAGAAGCAGGGGACGGGGAGGCGGGGGGAGTGGAGGTGGAGTGGAGGTGGAATGAAAGAAGGGGCCGAGGTGGCCAAGGAGGAAGGGGCTGGGGAAGGGAGAGCTTCTGTTGCAGCTCACGGTTGGGCCCAGAGTGCTGCCCTTGCTGCTGCTGAACAGCAGGCCGCTCCCTCACACACCAGCCCTTGCCCCTGCTCACTTGCCGCCGCCGACCACGATGGCAATCTGCACGCCCTCGCTGGCCGCCGCGGCCACCTCGCTGGCGATGGTCTGCAGCACGGCGGGGTCGATGCCAAAGCCCTGGGCCCCCTCCAGCGCCTCGCCGCTGACCTTGAGCATCACGCGGCTGCAGGGACGGGGAGTGGAGCGCGCGGTGTGGAGACAGAGATAGCAGGAGCGGAAGAGGGAGGGCGAGGAGGCGGCGGAGACAAGTGTGGAGGTTGCAGCATATGACGAATGAGTAGCAGTAGGAGCAGCCAGGGCAGAGCGGCGTCTCGACATGTGGCGGCATCGCCTTGCATGGCGCCCCACAGGCTCACCTGTACTTGAGCTTGGCTTCGTAGCTGCGGTCCATGGAGCGCTGCGCCTCCGCGACGCACACTACATGCGGCTGCTGCCTGCCCAGCCGCCGCCCGCCCCGGCTGCCTGTCAACACTGCTCGTGTCGTTGCTGCGTTGATAGCAACTCTGTGCACAACACGTGCGGTTGCCACAGGGGCGGGGCAAGCGGAGAGCTGTGCCGCGGCCATTCTGAGGTTTGGCTCAGAGCGCCGGCTGATGCTGCTTCCGGGCAATGTGCACCAGCTGGACTGCCCTCCCGCATATGCCGCTGGTCTTTTGGAGCGGGTGGGCGGCGAGGGTGTCCTGCCTGTCCTGCCTGAGCCGGGCTGAGGACGAGAATTGGCGCCGTTGGTTTAGCCTGGGCCCACTCTGCACTGTGGCCTCCACCCCGCAAAGGGCTGTGCGCAGCCAGTGCGCTTCCCCGACTCTCTTCTCTCGATCACCGCCAGGGCGCTCGCTTCCCGTAACTGGCAGCTTGCCCGGACACTGCATCGTCGTGCCAGGGGCCTGCAGCGGGCAGCAGGCGCCCAGCCGCGATGGCTGACAAGGGGGTGCCCCTCACGGGCTCTGCAGCCTACGACGAGGAGCTGTATGGCGGTTCGGCAGGCGTCACGGGCTATGCCGCGGTGGCGCAGGACATTGAGGAGGAGGAGGATGTGGATGAGCGGGAGCGGGCTGTGGCCAGGTCCGGGGGGACTCCCAGCGCGCTGCATGTGCAGCCCCTGCAGCCCTGCAGCGTGGCATGTGGGCGCTGGGCCCGCCGGCCTGCGTAGGCCCCGCCCCGCCCGCGGCGATGCGCTTGCTTGCTTGCTGCCTGCCAGTCCGCTTGCCTCACCCCGCGTGCCCATTGCTGCCTGCCCCACCTGCTTGCAGCAAGCTGGCCTCCTACACAGCGCCAAAGTCCCTCATGAACGACCTTCCCGTGACGGACGACGGCGACCAGGTGCGCTGTTGCACGAGGCCAGGGGGAGTTGTTCTTGCTGTGGCGGTGTGTGGGAGCTGCGGAAGGGTGTGTGTTGGGGCGAGCCAGCGCGGCGAGCGCGTTGCCGGGCAGGAGCAGGAGGGGAGCGCAGGGAAGCGGCAGGCCGCCGCAGCACAGGCAGCGCAGGCTGCACCGGTCCACATGAGCCTGCCCGCGCCCGTGCGTCGCCGCCTGCAGGACGGCAGCGGCTTCATGCAGTCGCGGCGCATCGTGGACCGCGAGTCGGAGTACTCCAAGCGCCGCCTGGACCGCATCATCTCGCCCGACCGCAACGACGCTTTCCAGATGGGCGACAAGACGCCCGACGCGCGCGTGCGCACCTACGCCGACGTCATGCGCGAGGCGCAGCTGGCACGGGAGCGGGACAACACGCTGCGCAACATCGTGGAGAAGCGCAAGGCGGAGGCGGAGGCGTCCGAGGCGCAGCTGGCGGCCCTGGACGCGGTGCCGACCAAGGCGTCGGGGATGGCGCCGGCGGCGCCCGCGGCGCCCGCGGCGGCGCCCGCGCCCACCGCCACGGCGGCCGCGGTGGCCGCCGCCGCGGCCACCGCGCCGGGCGGCAAGCGCAGCAGATGGGACAGCTCGGTGCCAATCGAGGCGTGAGTGGCGGCGCGGCCTGCTGCTTTCTGACTAGCCCGCTGCGCCCGCACCTCTCTCCTGCTCTGCTGCCGCCGCTGCTGCGTGCCGCAGCTGCGTTTTCCCGGGCCGCTGGTGCAGAGGTGCCTGTTTCACTCAACCTCTCTCCTCCCTCCTCCCTCCTCCCCTGCTGTGTCTGCTGCAGCAAGAAGCCCAAGGTTGCGGCGGCGCCCGAGGCGGCCCCCGCGCCAGCCCCCGCAGCGGCAGCCCCCGTGTCGGACTGGGACGCCGTGGAGGCGACCCCAGCCGTCAATCGCTGGGACGCCACCCCCGGCCAGGCGCCTTCCGAGACGCCCGGCCGCATCTGGGCTGGCGGCGCGGAGGCCACGCCCGCGGGCCGCTGGGACGCGGCCGACGGCGCGGCGCAGCCCAAGCGCAACCGCTGGGACGCGACGCCCACGCCCGGCCACGGCGGCGGCGAGGCGGGCCCCGGCGAGACGCCCTCCGCGGCCGGCAAGCGCAGCCGGTGGGACGCCACGCCCGCCATGGCGGCGCTGGGGGCCACCCCCGCCTACGGCGCCGGCGCGCTGGGCGCCACGCCCGCCTGGGGGGCCGGCATGGCGACGCCCGCGGGCGGCATGGGCATGGAGACGCCGACCCCGGGCATGCTGGCGGCACAGCAGGCGGCGCTGGGCGCGGTGCCCATGACACCAGAGGCCTACCAGCAGCTCAAGATTGAGCGGGAGATGGATGAGCGCAACAGGTGGGGCTGAATCAAAAACGCGGCGGCTGGGGGCCTTGGGAGGCTGGTGGCGCAGCGGCAGGTCCTGGGCGGCACGTGGCGGCGCCCTGGCATGCCGCCTCCCGCCTGCCCGCCTGCTATCCCTCTCCAGCTTCCTCCTCGTCCCTCTCCAGCCATGCACAGCCATGCGTACAAACTGACCAAAACAAACTGCCCACACTCTCGGCGCCACCCTGCAGGCCCCTGAGTGACGAGGAGCTGGATGCGATGCTGCCCGGCGCTGCCGAGGGCTACAAGATCCTGTCGGAGCCGGCCGGCTACGAGCCCATCCGCACGCCCGCCCGCAAGCTGATGGCCACGCCCACGCCCTTTGGCGGCACGCCGCTGTACCAGATACCCGAGGAGGACAGGGCGCAGAAGTTTGATGTGCCGCAGCAGCTGGAGGGCCTGCCCGAGATGAAGCCGGAGGACCAGCAGTACTTTGGGAAGCTGCTCAAGGTACCGCCATGCGGGTACTGCACGTGACCCTGGGGCTGCCCTGGCGGCCCGCAGCGCCGGGTTGCCCTTCGCACGCGCGCCGCCGGCTTCTCTCCATGGCTGCATCCCGCTGCCCTCACCTGCGCCTGCCCCTCGTTGCCCTGCCCCGCAGGATGTCGACGAGGAGGAGCTGACTGTGGAGGAGGCCAAGGAGCGCAAGATCATGAAGCTACTGCTCAAGGTCAAGAACGGCACGCCGCCGCAGCGCAAGTCGGCGCTGAGGCAGCTCACAGGTGGGGCTTGGGCGTACGAGTGTTGTGTGTGTGTCTGTGGGTGGGTGGGTGGGTGTGCTGGTGGGGATGTGTGGTCGCAGCCAGCCAGCACAGCACGGCCCTGGCAGCACGCACCGTACAGCGGCTGGCTGGTGGCCGCGCTGCTGCCGGCGCACCACCCTCCCCTGCTCACCTGCCCTGCCGGCCCTTCCTGCACCTCCCCTGCGCCCCGCAGACAAGGCGCGCGACTTTGGCGCGGGCCCGCTCTTCAACCAGATCCTGCCGCTGCTGATGAGCCCCACGCTGGAGGACCAGGAGCGCCACCTGCTGGTCAAGGTGGGCTGCTGAGGGGGATGGGCGGCTGCGCGCCTGCGTCTGTGTGCCTGTGTGTGTGTGGAGGGACACGTGGGTGTGTGTCCATGTGATGTAGGCAGGGTGGTGCGGGGTGAGGGGAGCCAAGCGCCGGGCTGCACCCTCCAGCTTCTTCCTGCTGCTCTGCCCCCTCCCCACCCCTCACCCCGCCGCGCTTCCTGTTCCTCCTTTCCTCCTCGCCCGCCTGGCGCCAGGTCATCGACCGCGTGCTGTTCAAGCTGGACGAGTTGGTACGGCCGTACTGCCACAAGATACTGGTGGTCATCGAGCCGCTGCTGATCGACGAGGACTACTATGCTCGCGTGGAGGGCAGGCACGTGGTGTACTGCGCTGTACCTGTACTGCATCGTACTGCACTGCACTGGCCGGCACTCTGGTTGTGGCCCCATGCAGTGCCTCGGGGCGGGGAGGGCAGAGGGCGTTGCGGGAGGCAGCGGACGGTGGTGGCTGAACCCTGCGCCCTGCCCCTTCGCTCCCCTGCTGCTGCTGCGTGCACCCCACCCGCCCTCCCTCGGCGCGCCGAACCCTTGCCCCTCGCTGCCCCACCTGCCCCGCCCCGCAGGGAGATTATCGCCAACCTGGCCAAGGCTGCAGGCCTGGCCACCATGATTGCGGCCATGCGCCCCGACATTGACAACGTCGACGAGTATGTGCGCAACACCACCGCACGCGCCTTCTCGGGTGGGTGGCCAGCCGCAGGGCTGGGCTTGTGGGGCGGGCGCAGGGGCGGGGTGGTGGTGGGGCCGGGGTGGCAGCTGGCGGGCATGCGGGGCATGCAGGCACTGCCTGGCCGGGCTCTGCTCTACGCGCCCGCGCTGCGCACGGCTGGTGGTTGAAGGAGGCTGCCCCTCCATGGTGGCACATGGCCTGGCCTCTGCTGCTGGGCCGGGCTGGGCCGTGCTGACGCCACCCCGCCTTCTGTCGTCGCCATATACGTGCAGTGGTGGCGTCTGCCCTGGGCATCCCCGCGCTGCTGCCCTTCCTCAAGGCGGTGTGCCAGTCCAAGAAGAGCTGGCAGGCGCGGCACACGGGCATCAAGATTGTGCAGCAGATTGCCATCCTCATGGGCTGCGCCGTGCTGCCGCACCTCAAGTCCCTGGTGGACATCGTCAAGCACGGTGCGCCCCTTCCTGCTTTGCACAGTCGTGTGTGGAACAGAAGGCCCTTGCGATACGGCAACAGTGCCTCGGCTGCGCGTGTGCAGCGCATGGTGGCTGGAGGGGACGCTGCCCTTCTCAAGCTGTGCCCCGAGCAGCCTCGCTGACAGCCGTGCCGACCCGCCTGCCTGCCCTCCCTGCCCCGTCCTGCCTTCCCTGCCTGCAGGCCTGCAGGACGAGAACCAGAAGGTGAAGACCATCACCGCGCTCACCATTGCGGCGCTGGCAGAGGCGTCGGGTGAGCCGCCAGCAGCAGCGGTGCTGTGGCGTTGGGCTGGGAGCTTCCCCCTCCCCTCGCTGTCCCGTGTGCTCTGCACCCTGACTGCTTCCTTGCCCTGCCTCCGCTGCCTGCCTGCCCGCAGCTCCCTACGGCATCGAGAGCTTTGATGATGTGCTGGAGCCGCTGTGGAAGGGCATCCGCCTGCTGCGCGGCAAGGTGCGCTGCCCGTGGGGCAACAAACCCCTTGCACGCCGGCTCGCCTGCACGCGCACAGCTGGATGCAGCTGCGGGCTCGGCTCCCAGTGCCATCACGTGTTGCTGCTGCCGCGCCCTCTGCTCCCCTCCCACTCCAAGTCACCCGTGCTGCTGCCCAGCCCACTCCTAACCCACCCCCGCTCCCCCGCCCGCCCACCCTGCCCCGCTGCCCTGCTGCTGGCCAGCCCAATGCCTAACCCACCCTCCCTCGCTGCCCCACCCTCCACCCGTGCCCGCGCAGGTGCTGGCCGCCTTCCTCAAGTCCATCGGCTTCATCATCCCCCTCATGGACGCCATGTACGCCAACTACTACACGCGCGAGGTCATGATCATCCTCATCAGGTGCGGCCGGCCTGGGGTGCGGCGGGCGGCATGCATAGGGTGGATGCAAAAGGTTTAGGTATGGTCGTCCTCGTCAGGGGGGCTGGCGGCGCTTCGGTTGTTGTGTGTGGTGGCGGTGCGGTGGGCTGCAGGGGACTCAGCCAGGAAGAAGCGGCAGGAAGCTGGCTGGTCTCGCCCTGCCCGCAATCCCAACCTGCCCCTGCTTCCGTGTGCCCACCGCTGCGTCCTCTAACCTCTGGGTCCCCTCGCCCGGCCTTTGCCTGCAGGGAGTTCCAGACGCCGGACGAGGAGATGAAGAAGATCGTGCTCAAGGTGGTGAAGCAGTGCGTGGGCACCGACGGCGTGGAGCCAGACTACATCCGCCAGGAGGTGCGCCCTGGGCAGCAGCTGGGGGCAGCACAGTGTGGTGCGGTAGGGCAGCGTGGTGCGGTGGAGCAGCGTGGGAATGGAAGCAAGGCGCCGCCTGCTTGCCGTCTCCCGGAGTGGGTTGCCGCGCAACGCTCGCTGGCCACGTGCTCATGCCTCCCTCCCCTGCCCCTCCTCCGCCTGCCCTCCACGCCACCCCCACCGCGTCCTCCCCGCAGATCCTGCCCGAGTTCTTCAAGCACTTCTGGGTGCGGCGCATGGCGCTGGACCGCCGCAACTACCGCGCGCTGGTGGAGACGACGGTGGAGGTGGCGGGCAAGGTGGGGTGCTCCGAGATTGTGGGGCGCGTGGTGGAGGACCTCAAGGACGAGAGCGAGCCGTACAGGTGGGCCTGCTGTGCGTGCTGTGCATGCTGTGCATGCTGTGGGTGGGAGGCGGTGGTGGATGGGAGGTCTTGGCCGGCAGCCGGGCTGCCCCTGGCCGGCAGTGCCGCCTCGAACGCATCCCTCGCGCGCCTGCCGCCACCCTGCTTCTTTCCACCCAGCCGCGCTATGCCCCTCCTTCTTTCCTCCCACCCCCACCCCCACCCCCTTCCACCCCTTTCCTCCCCGCCCGCAGGAAGATGGTGATGGAGACGTGCGACAAGGTGGTGCGCGGCCTGGGGGCGGCGGACATCGACGCGCGCCTGGAGGAGCTGCTGATCGACGGCATCCTGTATGCCTACCAGGAGCAGGTGGGCTTCCGTACGTGTGTGTGTGTGTGTGTGTGTGTGTGTGTGTGTGTTTTCAGAGGGCCTGGTGGGACCAGGGCAGCGGGCTGAGGGTAGATGGATGGTTGGGAGGGGGGTGCTAGTTGGTTTGCAGGACGGGATGTTTAACGCCGGTGTGCTTCACCGGAAATCCCGAGCGCCATCTGCCTTCTAGTCCTCCCCGCAACCCGTGCCCTGCCCTGCCTCTCGCCCGCAGCTTGCCGACGAGTCGCCCGTGGTGCTCAACGGCTTTGGCACCATCATCAACGCCCTGGGCCAGCGCGCCAAGCCCTACCTGCCCCAGATCTGCGGTACCATCAAGTGGCGGCTGAACAACAAGAGCGCCAAGATCCGGCAGCAGGTGCGGCGCCGGCCCTGCTGCAGTGACGCCCCAGGGAGACGGGGGCAGGGGCAGGGACAGTGCAGTGCCGCTGGGGCAGGCAGCCGGTTGGGCTTGCGTGGGGCGAGCAGGTGCCCTGGGCATGCAGAAACTGGGCAGCAGCGCAAGGAAGAGGACAGGCTGCTGTGCTGCGTCGTGCCGACCCTGCCTCCTCGTCTCCCTGCCCCCCCCACGCCTCGCCAACCCCGCAGGCTGCCGACCTCATCAGCCGCATCGCTCCTGTGATGAAGAAATGTGATGAGGAGAAGCTGCTGGCGCACCTGGGGGTGGTACTGTACGAGAACCTGGGAGAGGAGTATCCCGGTGCGTGCGGGCTCGGCGTGCTGTCATGTGTGGTGGCACGGCGTGCAGTGCGCACGTGTGTGTGTGTGTGTGTGTCAGTGTGTGGCTGGGAACAGCGGCGGCGCCGTTGGGGCCCGTCGGCAGCGGCAGCGCGGCTGTCTGGGGCCGCTCAGTGCTGAGCAGCTCGCCACGCGGCCCCCCTGTCCTCCCCGCCTGTCCTGCCCCCTTTTCTCCTGCTCACCTCCCGCTCCCCGCCTCCTCCTGCCCTCCCGTCCTCCTGCAGAGGTGCTGGGTTCCATCCTGGGCGCCCTCAAGTCCATTGTGGCGGTGATTGGCATGACCCGCATGACCCCCCCCATCAAGGACCTGCTGCCCCGCCTCACCCCCATCCTCAAGAACAGGTGAGGCCGGGTGGAAGCGGCGTGTGCGTGTGTGCACAGCTTGCAGCCTGCCTGCAGCTCGGCGCTCATGCTGGCGTGGCATGCGTGCTGGGGCTGCTGGCCCCGCGCCTGCCGCCTGCCCTGCGTTGCTCGCTCGCCCTGCACCTCACTTGGCTCGTCCTGCGCTGCCCGTACCGTACCGCAGGCACGAGAAGGTGCAGGAGAACTGCATCGACTTGGTGGGGCGCATCGCCGACCGCGGCGCCGAGTTTGTACCCGCCCGCGAGTGGATGCGCATCTGCTTCGAGCTGCTGGACATGCTCAAGGTGGGCCGGGAGGGAAGACGTGGTGGCACAGGGCGGGAAACGCTTGTGATTTACGCTGTGCAGGAGCCGGGGGATGTTTGCCAGCGCACGGCGCCATGGATGCACCTGCCTGACTGCCCATTTTCCGCCTCCCCCGGCCGGCCAATCGCAGGCGCACAAGAAGGCCATCCGGCGCGCCACGGTCAACACCTTTGGCTACATCGCCAAGGCCATCGGCCCCCAGGACGTGCTGGTCACACTGCTGAATAACCTCAAGGTGGGTGGCTGCGTGTGTGTGTGTGCGTGTGTGTACACGTCTGGCTGTGTGTGGATGTGGCTGCGTGGAGGTGCTGGTGGTTAGAAACAGAAGTTGGAAACAGAAGATAAAAGTACCAGAAGGGGGCCAAGCCAGCGCGGTGCATGCGTTGACCCTTCCTGCCACCTTCCTGCCACCCCTGCCCCGTGCCTGCAGGTGCAAGAGCGCCAGAACCGCGTGTGCACCACGGTGGCCATCGCCATTGTGGCGGAGACGTGCGCGCCCTTCACCGTGCTGCCTGCGCTGATGAACGAATACAAGGTGCGGCAGGGGCGCACTGGGTATGCCAGCGCAGGGGGTGGGCTGGTGGCTGAGTGTGTGGGGTTGGAGCTGGGGCGTGAAGCAGTGCGGCGTGGCACTCTCCGGCTGGGTTTGGGCGGGCCAGAGGGCGGTGTGCACTGCGGTGCGTGGCCACAACTGTTTCTGACCCGGCTGCGCCCTGCGACACCCATTGCGCCGCCCATCTCTGAACACGACCCCGGCTGCGCCCTTCCGTGCCTGGCGCAGGTGCCCGAGCTCAACGTGCAGAACGGCGTGCTCAAGGCGCTTTCTTTCCTGTTTGAGTACATTGGGGAGATGGGCAAGGACTACATCTATGCGGGTGGGTGGCGCCTGGCATCAGCAGCTGCAGCGGGGGCCAGCTGTGGCTGGCAGCTGCTTGCTGGCAGCCCCCGGGCAGTCCCCCGCTCTGCGCCGCTCTCGCAGCCCCCACCTGGCTGCTCCAAACGACCCACCATGCGCCCGCCCTCCCCTTCCCAACGCTTCCCCTCCCTTCTTTGCTCGTTTCCCTGCTGCAGTGTCCCCGCTGCTGGAGGATGCGCTGATGGATCGCGACCTGGTGCACCGCCAGACCGCCTGCTCCGTGGTGCAGCACATGAGCCTGGGGGTGGCGGGGCTTGGGTGCGAGGACGCGCTCACCCACCTGCTCAACTACGTCTTCCCAAACATCTTTGAGATCAGCCCCCACATCATCCAGGTGCGCGTGTGGCGCGGCTGCGGGGCCAGCGCGGCTGCATTGCTGCCTGCTGCTGCAGAACTGCAGAAAAGTAAGTAAGTATGGGTGGGAGGCCGGGGAGGCCGGCATGCCTACGCTCACCCTTGCCTGCGTGCTCCGCTCCCCTGCCCGCCCGCAGTCGACGACGGGCGCCATAGAGGGCTGCCGCGTGGCGCTGGGCCCCGCCGTGATCCTCAACTACCTGCTGCAGGTGGGCGGGCGCGTGGCAGGGCGGCATCAGCTGGGTGGCTGGGCAGCTGGCCTGGCGCCTGCAATGCCTGGCGCTGCCTGCTGCGCCGCCTCCACTGGGCTCTCAGCGTTTGTTGGCCCGCTTGCCAGAGGCCCGCTTGCCGAGCTGTTCTGGAGACGCCACTCGACCTTGCTCCCTCCTGCTGCAGGGCCTGTACCACCCGGCCTGCAAGGTGCGGGAGGTGTACTGGCGGCTGTACAACAACGTGTACATCGGGGCGCAGGATGCGCTGGTGGCCTGCTACCCGCGCATGGAGGACGAGGGCATCAACTCGTACCGCCGCCACGAGATGGACGTGTTTGTGTGACGGCGGGGCTGTGTGTTGCAGCGGGGCAGCCGCTCAGCTTTTCCCAGTTGTTGTGCCAGGGGGAGCGATTAAAAGTGTGTAACTTCCCGTCCATTGAGATCGTGACATTCATCCAGCACTGTCAGGCCTGGCCGTCCCAACCCGTTCGTGGCGCCCTGCACCGCTGGCGGCGGCAGCATGACGTTTCAGCCTCCTGCACTCGTTGTCACCCACGTGTGTCATTCTTCTTCTTCTTCACAGGGAGCCATAGTCACCGTGCGATGGAGCCATTGTCACCGGGCTGGCCCAGTTGGGGTTCCCCGCCGTATTCCCCGACCTTTTCGGCGTATTCCCCGACGTCCCCGTCGTATTGCCCGACCTCCCCGTCGTATTCCCCGGCCTCCCCGCGGTTTTCCCCGTGCTCCCCGGCATACTCCCCATGCAGGGTGGGAATGAGCAGGAAGGGTGAGTTTGTGAAAGATTCGCGCTGCCTGCGACCTGAATTCACGCTGAAATCATGAGAGCCGTGAGCTTGCTCCTGTTCAACGCCAAGATAAGCCAGCAGCCCGTGGCGCCCTTGCCGCCACCCCGCTGCCGCCCATCGTCATTTTCATCTGGCATGCAGGCGTGTTTTACCCATCCACAATGTACGAACTGGCAGCAACTGGGAATGTTGAGGAGTTGACAGGCTTCATCCAGCAGCATCCCGAATGGGTGGATGTTCCCGGGCCGCAACGCTGGGCTCATTGCCCGGCGGTCCACGACGGTTACATCCACCAGCTGCTGGTGTCAGAGAACAGCATTACTGCAGCTGACGGCACTGGCTGGACAGCTTTAATGCTCGCGGCATGCAACGGCCATGAGACGTGTGTGCGCACACTGCTGGAGGCAGGCGCTAGGGCTGACGCACCTGATAGCCGCGGCTGCAGTGCACTGATGCTCGCTGCAGCCAAGGGTCGCGAGGCATGTGTGCGAGCACTACTGAAGGCAGGGGCCAGCATTGATGCAGCTGACTGCAGTGGCTGGACAGCACTAACGATCGCAGCAATTGAAGGCCACGAGGCGTGTGTGCGTGCACTGCTGAAGGCGGGGGCCAGCGTCGATGCAGCTGATGGCTTGGGCCAGACGGCACTGTGGTGTGCTGCACGCAATGGCCATGAGGCGTGCCTGCGGGTGCTGGTGACGGCAGGGGCCAGGTTGAACGCAGCTGATCCACTTGGCAGCACAGCACTGATGCTCGCTGCAATGAACGGCCACAAGAAGTGTGTTGGCATACTGCTGGAGGCAGGGGCCAGTTTGGACGCAGCTAGGCCTGATGGCAGCACGGCGTTGATGAGTGCTGCTGCGCAAGGCCAGGACCAGTGCTTACGGACACTGCTGGCAGCAGGGGCAAGCATTGACGCAGCCGACAGTTCCGGCTGGACAGCGCTGATGTACGCTGCATCCTATCCCGCCTATGGCTGCGAGGAGTGCTTGCCCGCACTGCTGGTGGCAGGGGCCAGCATCAACGCAGCTGATAACGATGGCCACACAGCACTGATGCACGCTGCATCAAGCGGCTATGAGGAGAGTGTGCATGCACTGCTGGCAGCAGGGGCAAGCATTGACGCAGCTGCCACTTTTAGGTGGACAGCGCTGATGTGCGCTGCATCCTACGGCTACGAGGAGTGCTTGCGCATGCTGCTAGAGGCAGGGGCCAGCATCGACGCAGCTGATAACGATGGCCACACTGCGCTGATGCACGCTGCATCAAACGGCCATGAGAAGTGCGTGCATGAACTACTGGGGGAAGAAGCCAGCGTCGATGTCGCTGCTGCCAGTGGACAGACAGCACTCCACTGTGCCGCCAAGAGCGGCAGCATCGCCATCATCGACTGGCTGGTGGCGGCTGGGACGGATTTGGCAGCTCGTGACAGTCGCGGTTTCACAGCATGTTATTTGGCAGTGAAACACAATAATGTGCAAGCAGCCTGCCGCCTGGTTGAGCTGGAGCAGCAATTGTTTGCCGCCGCACAGCCAGGCGAGTTGACAATGGTTTTTTTATTGATGCTTGGAACCCCTGCGGTGCTGCCGCCTGCTGTGTGTGTGCATGTTGATGCTTGGAACCCAACCCTCCCCTGATGCCCGCACAGGCGCCATGATAGATAAGCCTGCTGTGACCTCAGCCCAGCCAACACGCATTCTGCATGAGCCAGAGCAGGCAGCGGAAGCCGGAGCTGGATTACTGGCGGAAGAGCCTGAACCGTCAGCAGCTCAAAAGGCGGCAGCTGGTGGTGTTTCCATGCCAGAACCTGCAGAGAGAGCAGCAGCGGGACAGGCAGGGCAGATGGCAGCAGCTGCCCCACAGGATGCTTCTGCACCCGCACGCGACGAGGGTGCTGCTCGTCTCTTCGGCCCGGAGGTGTGCGGCAAGCAAGTCAGGTGTGCTGGCTGGCCCGCCTTCTCGTGCAGCCAGTGTGTGTGCTGTTTCTGGTGGCGCATGTGCTGAAAGCCTGCGCCAGCCAAGACGAATTGCCGAGGCTCCCTGCAGGGTGTGGTTATCGAATCAGCAGGACTGGGTGCCTGGCACCATCAAGCAGTGCATGATGCCGGACAGGTGGGCTGGCGCCAGCTCATTGCGCCCGCTGTTTATTTTAAGGTGAAAGTGATGTGTCTGCCTCTCGACTGCCTGCAGGGTGCACTGCGTGGAGTTTGAGGGCGTCGGCCTGCACTGGAGGATGCAGCTGATGCGCCTGCAGCACGTGAGTGCCTTGCTAGCCGAGCAGCTGCCTTGCATCAGACCGCCCTGACTGCAGTGCAGCTCTTCATCTGCTGGCAGCGTGCTGGAAGCTCGCCCCCATGCGCACTTGCCTGCGTGCCTCTTGTCGTGATGATCCGCCTGCTGCTCTAATGGCTGCCTTGCCCGCCAATCTACAGGAGCGGTTTCAGCTCCTGGGGGAAGATGGGCTGGTGCAGGCTGAGTATCGTGATGGGCTGCTGGTGCAGCAGGAGGGGCGGCAGGCAGCCGGCCTGCAGCCAGCGCAACAGGTGACGCAGCGCTCTGGCAGCAGAGGCAGCGGCGAGTGCAACCATCGGGCTATTAAGGTTGCTGCCCTTGGCCAGAAGCTGAGCGGACAGGCGCAGGCAGCAAGCACTGCCAGTGCTGCTGCTGCTGCCAGCGGGCTGTGGCGGCTTCGCCAGCAGCCGGCAGCAGTTGCGGCCCCCACTGCATCCACTGCTAGGGGCCAGAACCGGCGTGCCAGCAAACGACTGCGCCAGCCCACTGCAAAATTGCAGCAACAGCCTGCTGCCAAGAAATACCGGTGAGCACGCTGGCTTGCTGCTGCGCCCATGCCTCTGCAGCTGCCCATGCCTGCCCACCCAACTGACTGAGACCCTCCTGTTCTGGTGACTGCAGATGGTGAGATCCTCCTGGGTGTGCGCATTGAGAAAGAAAGCAAACTCCCTGTGAAGTGATGCCCGAGTGTGTGCAGCGGTTGAGCTGGCGGGAGCGTGACACCGGCTGCGCCCCACATAGCTTGCCCAATGTGTGTGCCCTGTTCCCCTCTTGTACATCTATATGTGAAGGTTTGTACAAGTCCTGCACATAATTGATTGCGCGCAGCTGCGCCAACTTTCCTACGCCGCTGCGCAGCTGCGCCCTGCACCGCTGGCGCGCAGCCTGAGCAATATTGTCACATGGTATGCATGGTGGGTTGCCAGCGAATCCAGTCCATTCATGCGACCACCCAGCAGGGTTCAATCACCAGCTTGAGTTGGAACTCAGCGGCTGCACCAAGTGCCATCGGCAGCCCAGCCCCTGCTTGGCAGCCGTAGACGCCCAGTTTCGCGATCAAGACTGGTACAGTGAGGACACGCGCAGCCACACTGGTGAGGGCACGCTGCTGGCCACGGGCTTGAACCCTAGCTGCACTCGGAACGCTGTGCCAGGGTTGACGTGAGCTCCCGGCACGTGCCGCAGCTCATGGGAGCTCGCTGCCGCTCGCGGGACGAGTATGCCTCCCGCCACCCGCCGCTCACTGGTGGTCACATACACTGCACTTGCTGCGCTGCCGCTGTTGCTGTGGCGCAGGCATTCAAACACCCAGAATGCCCGTGGTTAATCAGCTCTACGGATCGGCTGGGTGTGGAGAGGTGGAGAAATTGAAGGAACTCATCCGGCAGCATCCCGAGTGGGTGAATGTCGCCGTGTTCCGAGGCAGGACGCCGCTGCACAAGGCAGCTATGTGCAGCCGCAAGAGCCAAATTGATGCGCTGGTGGAGGCGGGAGCCGTCCTTGACAATGCTGATCACAGCGGTTGCACAGCGCTGATGCACGCTGCATTTAGGGGCAGCGAGGCAGTTGTGCGCGCACTGCTGGAGGCAGGGGCCAGCGTCAACACAGCTGACCATGATGCAGGACAGCGCTTCACTCTGCTGCCAAGGGCGGTAGCGTCACCATCATTGACGTTCTGGAGGTTGCTGGGGCAGATTTGGCGGCGCATAACAATGATGGACGCACACCCCGCGATGTGGCACTGAAGTACAGATTGGAGGAGGCAGCACAACGCCTTCTTGATCTGGAGCAGCAGCTCCCTGCCGCCGTGCAGCCAGGTGAGGTTTTGGCACTGACCTGCCCACTGGGAACTCAGTGAGCCGTGCTCATGCGTTACACCAACCTGCTCTTGCTGCCTCTGCAGGTGCGGCAGCATGCGACGCGGCAGTCCCGCCGGCTGTGCCTGCAGCCGCGCTGCCACCACCTATGGCACTGGCTCATGCCGCAATAGCTGAATCTGAGGCTGCAGCAGCGGCCCCGCCAGCTGTGCCCGCAGCCGCAGTGCCGACCAATGTTGCCCCGGCGGCGGTGCAGACTGATGCTGCTATTGATTTTGGGCCGGAGCTTGCGGGCCGCCACATCAGGTGTGCTGAGACGCACTGCTGCTGCTTGGGCCGGCTGCCGTTGGGCATTGGTGAGTCGACTCTGCCTCTGCTCGCTGTGGCGCTTTGGTTGTCCACCTGCAGGGTGTGGTGGGGAGAGCGGCACGACTGGGTTGCAGGCACCGTCAAGCAGTGCATCATGCCAGACAGGTGTGCCTTGCATGCTTGTGGGTTGGCGAGATCTGAAGCAACATTTGCTCATCTGGGTGCAGCACCCCGCACAGCTCCTTCAATGGAGCCAGCTTGCTCATTCCTTCTCATTCCCTCGCCGCTCAACGACACGATATGGCTGCAGGGTGCAGATTGTGAGGTTCCAGGGCGTGGGGCCTGAGTGGACCATGCAGCGTGTGCTCTTGCAGCATGTGAGTGCCTGCCTGCGCCCCCGCCGCTTTAGCTAGATTGTCTGCCGGCCTGCTCCAGCTGGACTGCGTCCCTGCCTGCCTGCTGCAATCCTGCACTGTACCTTCCTGCAAACTGGCCGTCTCCGCCTGCCCTGCCTGTGCTGCAGGTGAGGTTCCAACTGCTGAGGGAGGATGGGCAGGTACAGGCTGAGTATCATGATGGGGTACTGGTGCAGCGACAGGACCAGCAGGAGGGAGCAGGCCTGCAGCAAGAGCAACAGATGGGACAGCGCTCCGGCAGTAGGGGCAGCGGCGAGCGCAACCAGCCTGGGGCTGTGTCTGGTTCTGGCAGACAGGGACAGCCGTTAAGCGGTGCCGATGCTGCCGCTGCTGCCAGCGGGCTGAGGCGGCTTCACCAGGAACCGGCGACTGCCGCGGCAGCAGCAGCAGCCCACACCGCATCCACTGCCAAGCGCGGGGCAATGGCGGTGCCACCACCACAGCAGCAACAGGGCGCTGGCAAGCGGCAGCAGCACCAGGAGCAGCCTGCTGACAAGCGGCAGCGGCAGGGGACTAGCAAACAGGCTGCTGAGCGGGAGTATGCGGCTCTGCAGTGGAAGGCATTCGATGCAGGTGAGCAGCCAGCTGGCCCAGCTGCTGAGCCTGCTTCAGCCCCAATTGATGGCGGGTGCAGCCTTCAATGGGTAGCCGTAGTCTGGCTATTGCCAGTTGAGGCCATGGCTTCTTGTCTGGAGCCTGTGCCGCCCGCAGCTGAGCTCAACGAGCTGGCGGGCCGCTACCTCGCCCAAAGCGAGAAGAGGACAGATCGTAACCTGCGCAGCGGCCGTGCCGTGCCGTGCGAGCGGGTCACAAACTTGCCACCACCAGTGCAGAGCTGGGGCCCGCGCATGGGGATGAGCGCAGGTGGGCCGTGGAGCAGGGATGCAAATTCGACATGGCAGTGGCCGCTGGTGGAGCAAGGCTGGTCCATGCAACATCAACGCATCGCCCAGCTCTCTGCCTGCCTTGCCTTCCCGCCTGCAGAGGCGCTGAACGAGCTGCAAATCCTGCTGAGCAGGCACCACGCAAGGGATGCAGCGGCCTCCCGCCATCTCCTGTCCCTCCTGCGCGTGCTGGAGTGCTGGCTGGCGCACCCCGACAGGCCGCAGGTGCATCGCAATGAGCAGCGAAGCTGGCCTGCAGTTGTGTTGCTATGAGGAATTGAGGCAGGAAAGACATGTTTCTGGCTGGCATCACACTCGGCTGTGTCGCACTTCGTTCGCACTCCCCCTCTGCCTGCAGCCCGAGGTGCTGGTGCGGCTGGGGCGGCCGCTGGGCTGGCGGCCCCCACTGCTGCCTTTAGTGTCGGGTGTGGAGATTGTGTCGCAGGGCGCCGCTGGATCCGACAAGCCGGAGCCCTCCTTCCTTGCAGGGTCTGCAGGTGGGGATGCCGCTGCTGGGACTGGCAAAGGCTTTGTGCCGCAAGGTGCTTCCAGGCAGCGAGCCGTTGCCGCTGGCTGTGTGCAGCCCATGCCTGCCCGCCTCCCCAAATGAGCCCACCCTGTGTGGCTGCTTGCAGATGGCGACATTCTGGGCGTGCGCATTGAGAAAGAAGGCGATCAGAGGTGGAACGTGAAGCAGGAGGTGCAGCGCAGCGGCTGAGTTTGGTGCGTGCACACTGCATCATGCTGTGCGGCTGTGGCGGGCAGCCGCTGGACGACTCTAGACTTGACTACCGGCTGTGCCACATACCGAGCAGCCCGCAGCAATCCTTTGTGTGATGTGTCAACCTGTAAATTCTGCCTGTTGTGCTGGGGCCTGCATCACTCGCCAGGCAAGCGACCGTCTATTGTTTGGGCGGTCCTGCCCGCTGCATCGCTGGCGGCGGCAAAATGGCACGCATGCTGGATTCCAGCGGATCCAATCCCATTCATGTTCGGCAGCCAGCACGGTTCAATCGCCAGCTTGAGTTGGAACTCAGCGGCTGCACCAAGTGCCATCGGCAGTCCAGCCCCTGCTTGGCAGCCGTAGACGCCCAGTTTCGCGATCAAGAGTGGTGCTGTGAGGACGTGAGCAGCCGCACGGGTGAGGGCACGCGCCGTGGGCTTGAATCCTGATTGAACCCTAGCTGCACTCGGAACGCCTTGCGAGGATTGGCGTGAGCTCCCGGCACCTGACGCAGCTCATGCGAGCTCGCTGCTGCTCGAGGGCTGCCGCCTCCCGCCGCCCGCCTCTCACCGCCGCCGCCACCTGCTGCGCACCGCGCTGCCGTGGCGGCGCTGCAGGCACCGTCATCGCAGCGCAATGCCCACGAAGCTGCTGTACGAAGCAGCTGGCAGCGCATCGGCGGCGGAGTTCAAGAAGCTCATCCAGCAGCATCGCATCTTGGTGAATGCTGCCGTGGAGGATGGCGAGCTCTCGGGTCGCACGCCGCTTCACAACGCCGCCAAGTCCGCCAAGAGCGGCAACATAAAGGTGCTGCTGGCGGCAGGCGCCCGCGTCGATGCAGCTGACAGCAGCGGCTGGACAGCGCTGATGGACGCTGCAATGGCGGGCAGCGAGGGCTGCGTGCGGGCCCTGCTGGAGGCAGGGGCCAGCACTGCCGTAGCCGATGAGTGTCACCAAACAGCGCTGATGGCCGCGGCATTCAAACGCAGCAAGGGTGCCGTGCGCGCACTGCTGGAGGCAGGGGCCAGCGTTAACGCAGCGGCCACGAATCATGGCTGGACAGCGCTCCACTATGCTGCTAGTACTGGCTTCATCGCCGTCATTGACGTTCTGGTGGCTGCTGGGGCAGATTTAACTGCGTATGACCATGATGGACGCACACCCCGTGATGTGGCACTGGAGCGCAACAAGACGCATGCATCCAGGGTTCTCCTTGAGCTGGAGCAGCAGCAGGCCGCACAGCCAGGCGAGTTGATCGTGACTTTTATGAACCCACAGTTTTGTGCTGCAGTGAAGTGTGTACATAGCGGTGCTTGGGAGCCAACCCTCCCTTGGTGTCTGTGCAGGCGCCACATCGGGTCGGGCTGCTGCCAACTCGGCCCGGCCTGCAAGCGCGCTGCGTGAGCCAGAGCATCCAGCGGCAGGCGCAGCTGGGGGAGAGGCGGCAGAGCCTCGGCCAGCAACAGCTGGAGTTGGTTCCGCCCCATCTTCCACAGAGGGTGCGGCAGTGGACCAGGCAGCAGGGGAGGCAGCCGCAGCGGCGCCACAGGAAGAGCCCTCTGCAGCGCGCGGCGAGGCTGCTGCCCACGTCTTTGGGCCCGACCTGTGTGGCAAACCAGTCAGGTGTGCTGGGTTTACCTGCTGCTGCAAGCAGTATGTGTGTACATGTGCTGAAACCTGTGCATGCCAAGACGCCTGTGCCCTGCCCCCTTGCAGGGTGTGGTGGCCGAATCGGCAGGAGTGGGTGGACGGCACCATCATCCAGTGCACGATGCCCGACAGGTGGGCTGGGCTTGCTGGGCATGCCAGGCAGGTGCCAGCTTCTCACGCCCGCTGTTGTATTGAGTGAAATGCTGCCCATCGCCTGCCTATCAAAAGCCTGCAGGGTGCACTGCGTGGAGTTTGAGGGCGTCGGCCTGCACTGGAGGATGCAGCTGTTGCGCCTGCAGCACGTGAGCGCCTGCTGGCCAGAGCATTCTTGGCCTGGGCAGTCTGCCTGCCTCAGAGTGTTGTGCAGCTCCCTGGTCAGCAATCCTGCCAGCAGCTAGCAGCTCCAGTGATGTACATCTGCCTGCCTGCCTGATTGTTCCGATGATCGGCCCGCTGCCCAACCTACCTGCTTGCAGGAGCGGTTCCAGCTGCTGGGGGAGGATGGGCAGGTGCAGGCTGAGTATCGTGCCGGCCTGCTGGTGCAGCAGGAGGGGAAGCAAGAGCAGGCGGCGGGCGACCAGCAGCAGCAGGTGGTGCAGCGTACGGGCAGCAGGGGCAGCGGCGAGCGGAACCCGCCTGGGGCCGGGGAGGCGGCTGCTTCTGGCCAACGCGGGCACCCAGCAAGCTCTGTTGCTGCTGCTGCTGCTGCTGCTGCCGAGTTGAGGCGGCTTCGCCAGCAGCCGGCCACGGCAGTGGCAGCAGGTCCTGCTGCATCCACTGCCAGGGGCATGCCGCCGCCACCACCGCAGGAACAGCAGCGCGGCGGCAAGCGGCAGCAGCAGCAGGAGCAGCCTGCTGCCAAGCGGCAGCGGCAAGTGACCGCTGCGCAGGCTGCTGAGCGGGAGTATGCGGCTCTGCAGCGGAAGGCCTTCGATGCAGGTGAGCAGGCAGCTGCCCAGGGCTGCTGCCATCAGCTGGCAGCCTTCGACAGATGGGCGCGAATCTGAAATCCATTCTGCAGTTGAAAGCCTTTCATCTCACCTGGTGTGTGTGTGTCACACCTGCCGCCCCGCCTGCAGCTGAGCTGGGCAAGCTGGTGTGCCGCTACCTGGCTCCAGGCGAGAAGCAGACCGAAGCGCCCCTCGCTCTGCGCAGCGGCGGCGCGCTTCCGCGCGAGCGGGTCACTCGAGTGCCGCCGGCGGTGCAGAGCTGGGGCAGCGGCATGGGGATGAGCGCAGGTAGGCAGGCAGCAGATCAGCCAGGCAGGGAATCCCACATCGCTGCACATGCATGTTTGCATGCTCCAGCAGCAGAAAGGCTACTGCTAAGCCAGGCAGGTCTCTGCATCCTCAACTTCTTCTGCCTGGTTTGGTCCCACCTGCCTGCAGAGGCGCTGGATGAGCTGTGGAGCCTGCTGGGCAGGCATCAGGCAGGCGATGCAGAGGCCTCCCACCGCCTGCTCTTTCTCCTGCGCGTGCTGGAGTGCTGGCTGACACATCGAGGCAGGCCACAGGTGTGGCGTAGAGAGCAGTGTTGTGGGGCATGCGGGCGCCAAGGAATGGCTGTTGCTGGGAGTCCTGTGATGAAACGTGATGAACCACTGGCCTTCTTACTTCCCCTCTGCCTGCAGCCCGAGGTGCTGGTGCGGCTGCGGCGGCCGCTGGGCTGGCAGCCCCCGCCGCTGCCTTCCGTGTCGGGTGTGGAGATTGTGTCGCAGGGCGCCGCTGGATCCGACAAGCCGGAGCCCTCCTTCTCTGCGGGGGCTGCAGGTGGGGATGCCGCTGGGGCAGCAAAAGGCTTTGTGCCGCAAGGTGCTCCAAGGCCAGCGTGCGGTTCCCGCTGGCTGTGGGCAGCCCGTGCCTGCACGCCTCCCCAAATGAGCCCACCCTGTGTGGCTGCCTGCAGACGGCGAGATCCTGGGCGTGCGAGTAGCGAAAGAAGATGATCAGAGGTGGAACGTGAAGCAGGAGGTGCAGCACAGCGGCTGAGCCTGGTGCGTGCGCACGGCATCATGCCGAGCGGCTGCGGCGGGCAGCCGCTGGACGACTCTAGACTTGACTACCGGCTGTGCCACATACCGAGCAGCCTGCAGCAATTCTTTCCGTGATGTGTCAATCTGTAAATTCTGCCTGTTGTGCTGTGGGGCTGCACCGTGTGCCAGGCCAGCGACCGGCACGCCGCCAGGACACGCGGCGCCGGGGGCAAAAATACCCCCCGAGCAAAATACCGCGCGGGCGAATGCCGCTGCGTTCAGCAGTTCTTGCGTGCCTATTTTGGTTGTGCGGCCAGCGCACCCAGCGCACCACCTTCGCGAACATGCCACAATTCCATGCGAGATGCAGGCTGCGGCACCCCACCATGCTTGTTGCCATGCTGCTACACGTGCTCCTGCTCAGCGGCCCGCAGCAAGCGCGCGCCGACAGCGAGGCGCCCATGGTCTGGCCCCGCCCCGCCAGTCTGTCGCACGGCGCCTGCAACGGCGGCAGCCCGCTGGGCCTGGCCGGCGCGCAGCTGCAAGTCCGCGTGCTCAGCGGTCAGGCTGACGAGGCAACCGCGTATGTAGAGGCTGCCCTACAGGCCGCGCTGCCTGAATGGGGCTGCGGCATCGAGGCGGGGCCTGCCGCCACAGGTGGGGGTGGGGACCGCCAACTGCCCACGCCCCCAAAGATGAGCTCCGCCTGTGCCACAAACCGATTGCCGGCCCTGAAGCTGACCATTTATGGCCTGCCTGCCTTGCCTCGTCTCTCCTCCAACCCCTCCCGCGCAGGCCCTACTATCAGCGTCGTCATCGCCAATGCCTCCTGCACGCAGCCCTCCTGCTACTCCCATGAAAACGATGAGAGCTATTCCCTTCAGATCGACGAGGCGGGAGCCATCACCATCGCCGCCGCCGAGATCTTTGGAGCCAACTGGGCGCTGTCCACCCTCTCATCTCTGGCCAACGGCACCTGCGGCCTCACCTGCCTGCCCATCGAAGGTCTGTCTGCGTGGTGTGCAAGCCCTGTGCGGCAGTGGTGGTTGGGCCGGGGATAGCACATACTGCCTGCTCAGTTTCCTGCATGTGTGGGGCAGTGGTGCTGCCCTCGCAGCTCCACTTCCAGCCCACCACCTCCCGCCCGCCTGGTTCAGTCCCACCGCCGCTGCCATGTCCCCACCTCCCTCCATTGCATTCTCACCACGCATCCTCCACTTGCCCGCCTCAACGTCCTGCCGCCGCCGCCGCCGCAGTGGAGGATACCCCTCGGTTTGGCCACCGGGGCGTGCTGGTGGACACCGCCCGCCACTGGTTCAGCGTGGAGGACCTCAAGCGCAAGATCCTGGATCCCATGCACGCCACCAAGATGAATGTGCTGCACTGGTGCGTGGCCTGGGGTGTAGCGGCCTGCCTGCCTGCCAGGATGGATGGGCTGCCCTGGTGTGGGTGGGGCTGGATCTGGGCGCTCGGAAGAGCTCCTGGAGCGAGCACGGTGGGAAGCTTCCCAATCAGCCTGCAGCAGGGATTCTGTGTGCCACCCCCATGCCGAGCCCTGCCGTCAGCCAGCACACAGCGTACCGTCCCCACACCCGCCCGCCACCTCCCAACTCGCCGTGCTGTGCTGGTGCGTGAGCGCAGGCACGTGTACGACAGCCAGAGCCAGCCGCTTGAGCTGCGCTTCGACCCCCGCCTCTGGCTGCCCTACTCCAAAGAGCAGCGCTTCACGCAAGAGGATGCGCGGGAGGTGGTGCGATACGCCTTTGCCCGAGGCATCCGCGTGCTGCCCGAGTTCGACCTGCCGGGTGCGCCACTGCCAGCAGGAGCGCGTGCAGGCAGGGATGGCAGCCGGGGAGAAGAGGGGGCCGGCTGGAGGGCCGCGCTCTGCCATTGAGCGTCGTACTGCCCATGCTGCCTTCTCAGCTGCCTGCCCCGCCCACCTGGCAACCTTCTCCACTGCAGGCCACACCGCGATCTTCGGGAAGGCCGACCCCGGCCTTGTGGACTGCCTGGACTACCTGCCCTGGGACGGAACCGGCGTCCCTAACGTCATGGCCAACCAGCCGCCAGCGTGAGAGGCGTACGGCAGGGAGCCTCCATGCCAGCCGCGGTGGCTGGGCCTGGCGTTCTTGCTCGGCGCCGGCGGGCCCGCCTGCCTGCTGCCGATTTCGAGGTTGCTTTGTTTCATGGCCAGATCTTTGTTTCACTCCCCGCCGCGCCACACGTTGCATGCAGGGGCCAGCTGAAGCCTGACCAGGCGGGGCTGGCCAGCCAGCTGCTGGACGAGATGATGGAGCTCTTCCCCAACAGCATCATCTCCTCAGGCGCCGACGGTGAGGGCAGGGCGGCCCCACAGGGCGGCCTCGGGCCCCGCCACATGCGGGGGCAGGGGCAGCTCGAGGCTTATGTCGAGCCGAGTAGCGGGGCGCGGTCGGATGGCTGTGGACTGCGTATCGCTAATGAGATGGGCTGGAAGGGACATCGGCTTTTCGTTGCGCGACGCTCGTTCTTTCCTCCCACCTTGCGCTTTCTTCCCACCCTGCAGAGGTCAACTTCAACTGCTGGAACAACGCCACCGTGGTGGCCCAAAACGCCTCGGACTACCCCCAGTTCCAGGAGAAGATGGTGCGGAAGCTGGCGGGCTTCCAGGAGCAGGTGTGCGGTGGTGGTGTGCTGTGGTGGTGGCGGTGTGCGTGCGGCGGTGGGCGTGTGGTGGCGGGGCGCTGCTGCTGCTGGCCTGCATGCTGCAGGCGCAGGCTCGCCCTGCCACTGCCTGCCGGCACCGAGCCGTGCTGAGGGACCTGCTTGAGCCCCCAAGCAGCCGGTTGCACAGCGCCGGAACCACTCGTGCCGTGTGTCCCGCCGCTCACCACCCCGGCACATTGCCGCCTCACTGGCGCAGGTTGCCGCCACCATCAACGGTGCGGGCCGCACTATGGCTGTCTGGGACGAAAGCTACGGCACCTGGAACTTCTCAGGCACTCCGGCGCTGCCCAGGGGCTCTGTGCTGCTCAGCTGGCTGGACACAAACAACACCGCGGCAATGACAGACGCAGGGTGAGCTGGGGCTGCGCTGCCACGCGTCCAGGCAGGGCCTGCCGCCCTCAGCGCAGGCTGGGCTCTGCGTGCGCTGAGTGGATGGGAGGGGCGCGCCATGCACCCCAAAACATGTGCTGTAACCGCATCATGCTGCCGTACCGCCGCAGGTACAACGTGGTCTGGATGCCCTGGCGCCGGCTGTACCTGGACTGCGGGCTGGGCACGCCCACCTCTCCGCCCAATTGGTGCGCTCCCCTTAACAACTGGACAACCATTTACTTGGCAAACCCTCTGGAGACCTTCAACGCCACAAGCGGCGACCCCAGCCGCCTACTGGGCGCCGAGGTGGCGACCTGGTCGGAGCACATCGTGCCGTCGATTCTGGACTATGTGGTGTGGCCCCGCGCCGCCGCGCTGGCCGAGCGGCTGTGGAGCCCGGAGAAGGACACGCAGGTGCTGCTGGGGTGGGCGGGAGGAGCAGCTTGGGGGGGGTGGGGGGTGGGGTGGGGTGGGGTGGGGGTGAGAAGCAGCTGGTGAAGCGAGGGTGTGGGAACTGTCGCTGGCAGGGAGGTCGCCGATGCCACGCGTGCTGGGGCAGTGGCAGGCCCATGCTGCGCCCTTTCCTGCTTCTGCTGTGCTCCGTGCCTCCCTGCTGGCAGCAGCACAGGCCCAAGACGCCCGACACCTGCCTGCTTGGGCACGACCGCTGCCGCCGCAGGACCCGGCGGCCGCCGAGGGGCGGCTGAGGCGGCTCATGGCACAGCTGGAGGCGCGGGGGCTGCGCCTCTCGCCCCTGGACTGGAACGGAACCAACTTCAAATATGAGCTGATGCCGCAGGCAAGGCCTGCGTCTGCCTGGCTCTGCCGCTGCTGCTACCACCTCATGCCATGCCATGCCATGCCATGCCATGCCATGCACGCTGGTGGCCTGTCCAGTTGCGCCTGGAGGATGCAGCAGGCAGGGGGCTGGCTTGCCCCAGCCTGGTTGTTAGGCTGTGATTCCCGCCATCGATAGCCGACTTCCGCCATTGGCAGCCGAACCTGTGGATGCTGCTGCTGCCGAGGCTCCCCTCCCACTCTGTGTGCAGTGGTGCGACACGGCGCCGCCGCAGCTCAACTCGGAGGGGGTCGATTACTGCGCTCCTGCTAAGACCTACAAGGGCGTGGATCTGACCTTTGACAACTTGGTGGATCCAAAGGAGGTCTGAGCCCTCATTGACACACGAACTCATTGACCCATGGCCCAGGGCATCCCCCGCCCGAGACAGGACTGGAGCGGCGGCTGGGCACCGCCAGGCTCAATTCTTGATGGACCCAAAGTAATATTCGCTTGATTAACTGACTTGCTACAGTCTCTTGATTAGCTGACATGCACATGACTTTGCAAGACATTCTGGAACAGGCATGGCCTGCCCGAGCAGTGCGAGCGGGGGCGGCGGCGCCTCCTGGCACAGCATGGCCGCAGCACGGGGGGTGGAGAGTAACCAACCTTCTCTGTGCAAGGTACATGTATACAGCGAAACTAGTGCGCTTGGCGCCGCTGCAGGACTCGTTTCAGGCAGGTCAGGCAGGGGCACCCAGGCGGGGGTGCTGTGCGCACCCCTGCGTGCGCCATGGCGTCCAGCAGGTGAGTTAGCGACATCGGCAAGCCACAAGGTTCCGCGGTGGAGTAGCTCGAGAGGCTTGGTGCCTATTGCCCGGGTTTGCCCTTTTCAGGGGCGCCCATCTCGCCTCTGGAGTTTGGAATCGCATGATAACGCGCTCTTCTGCCGCCCTTGGGCCCAGCCGCAGCAGCAACGGAGCTCCAGCGGCGGCGGCGGCGGCGGCAGGAGCGGCGCCTGTGGCGGCGGCAGCGCCTGCAGGCGGAGCGGATGCAATGACCAAGGAGCAGCGCGCTGAGCAGCTGAAGCGCATCCAGGAGATGGTCAATGCAAAGAACGCGCTGCGGCACAGAGAGGCAGCAGCGGAGGCAGCAAAGGCGAATCAGCTGAGAGCGGTAATTGCACGGGATGCGCCGCTGGTGGCGCTCAAGTGGTGGTGGGACGAGGTGGTGGCGGCAGTTTTGGGGCCCCCCCAGCAGCAAGGTAGGAGAAAGCGCGCTGTGCACTCAGTGTCCTTGGCGGCCTGCCTGCACGGCACTGCTGAATGCTTCACAAGCAAGGTACAGAAGAGCGCACCTTTCAGCACGCTGTTCCCCAAACCGCCTGCCTGCTTGCAGCTGAAGAGGTGAAGGCGGCGGCAAAGAAGAAGCAGTGACGGCCTGACCGCCGCTACAGAGTTTGCGCCGCGCTGCCGCAGAGTAGCTAATGGGGAGCAGGGTAGCATAGAGAATATTTACATTTTGAATGTGTGTGTGCCCACAATCAATGGGAGTGCAAAAGAATAAGAGGCCACCCTTTAGGGCAGTCCAGCCAGCGCTGGCTCACCAAGCTCTCCGCTGGGCACGCCTCGAGCTTCACAGGTCTGGCGCGTGGCAGCAGGCTGCTTCTGCTGCTGCCGCTCTGGTGTAGCCTGTGCCTGCCCCGCGGGTGACGGATGCATGACACTGAGGCCCCTGCACGTCCGCCAGCGATCCCATGATTTGCATCGCATTGAGGAAGAGGCGAGAGATGTCAGAACAATATACTGGCATCTGCTACCGCTGACCTCAGCGGGTTCAAAGCAAGCGCAGCAGCTAGACCAACAACTGCTTGCTCACCTGCAACGAAGCCCTCCGCTGCAGATCATTTACTCTCGCCCAGCACCCGGCTCAGCAATCCCCTGCCGTTGTCTCTTGGCTGCAGGCTGTTGCTGCCATTTTGCAGCAGGCCGCCGCAGCCGTTTGCTGGCACGCTGCTCCTGGCCCCTGGCAGTGGATGCGGTGGGCTAATGCTGCCTGCTGCTGGCGAAGCAGCCTCAGCCCGCTTGCGGCAGCAACAGCGGCCGTGCTCACTGCCTGCCCCTGCCCGCTCAGCTTCTGGCAAGGGGCAGACACCTCAACAGCCCGGCGCTGGTTGCATTCGCTGCTGCCCCTGCTGCCCGAGCGATGTGCCACCTGTTGCTGGCATGCCGTCTGCCTCTCCTCTTCCTGCTGCACCAGCAGGCCATCACGATACTCAGCCTGCACCTGCCCATCCTCCCCCAGCAGCTGGAACCGCTCCTGCAAGCAGGTAGGTTGGGCAGCGGGCCGATCATCGGAACAATCAGGCAGGCAGGCAGATGTACATCACTGGAGCTGCTAGCTGCTGGCAGGATTGCTGACCAGGGAGCTGCACAACACTCTGAGGCAGGCAGACTGCCCAGGCCAAGAATGCTCTGGCCAGCAGGCGCTCACGTGCTGCAGGCGCATCAGCTGCATCCTCCAGTGCAGGCCGACGCCCTCAAACTCCACGCAGTGCACCCTGCAGGCTTTTGATAGGCAGGCGATGGGCAGCATTTCACTCAATACAACAGCGGGCGTGAGAAGCTGGCACCTGCCGGGCATGCCCAGCAAGCCCAGCCCACCTGTCGGGCATCATGCACTGTTTGATGGTGCCAGGCACCCAGTCCTGCTGATTCTATAACCACACCCTGGAAGGGGCCACGGCACAAGATTCAGCACATGCGCTGCCGCAACAGGACACAAATTGGCATGAGAAGGCGGGTCAGCCAGCACACCTGACTTTCTTGCCGCACACCTCAGGGCCGAAGACGTGACCAGCAGCCTCATCCTGCTTGGGTGCAGAAGCATCCTGTGGGGCAGGTGCTGCCATCTGCCCTGCTGCCTGGCCCGCTGATGCTGCGTCTGCGGAAGCTGGACAGGAAACAGCTCCAATTGCCGATGCTCTGGCTGCTGCCGCTCCACGCTCTCTCACATTCCCCGCGGTTGCGGCTGCTGCCACCTGCCCTCGCCTTGTGGCGGCGAGCTGTTGCTGCTCCAGCGCCAGAAAACGTCGGGCTGCCAGTATCATTCCGTACTTGAGCGCCACATCACGAGGTGTGTGTTCACGTTCATCACGCGCTGCCACATCTGCCCCAGCCGCCGCCAGCCGGTCAATGATGGTGACGCTACCACCCTTGGCAGCAGCGTGAAGAGCTGTCCAGCCATTGTCATCACCAGCGTCAATGCGAGACCCTGCCTCCAGGAGAACTCGCACATGCTCCTCGTGGCCGAAAGATGCAGCTTCTATCAGCTCTGAATGCATGCTGCCTCCTATGGCGATAATCTTGGCCCCGGCCGCCAGAAGTGCACGCACACACGCCTCGTGGCCGAACAGTGCGGCATATATCAGCGCTGTCCAGCCGCGGTTGTCAGCTATGTCAACCCTAGCCCCAGCTGCCAGCAGTATTCGCACACAGTCCTCGTGGCCGGTAGGTGACTCGCACTCCTCGTTGCCCATCCATGCGGCGCGAATCAGCGCTGTCTTGCCAGCACCATCAGCTGCTTCAATGCTGGCGCCTGCCTTTAACAGTATCTGGACGCACCCTGTGTGGCAGTTAGATGCAGCGTCCATCAGCGCTGTCCCGCCATCGTTGTCAAGCTTGTTGACGTCGGCCCCTGCATCCACCAGTATCTGCACACACTCCTCGTGGCCGCAGTATGTCGCATGACTCAGCGCCGTGTACCCCTCCCAATCGATTGCGTTCACGTCGGCTCCTGCCTCCAGCAGCAATTCAAGTAGGCCCCCATGGCCGGCCTGAGCCGCTGCCAGCATTTCAGCATCCAGGTCCACCCCCTCGGGATGCTTCTTGACGCGTTCCTTCAAATCCTCCACCCTTTTTTTATTATGCCAGTGGTAGTCCAATATTGAGTGGTCCAAGTCACATATTGAAAGTACCATAAGGTGCAGCAATGCGCCTGCACGCCACCACACATCAACATAGCGGGCGGTCAGGTGGCGGTGGAGGCGCCGGCGGGCTTGGTAGCAGTTCCCCAAAGTGGACGCCAAACAAGACAGGCGATTGCCCCAGCTGGCACGCATGACTGACCCCGTTGCAGCGAATTCCCCCAGCCCGGCTAGGGTACTGACTTGTAGCGAATTCCCCCAACGGCGGCTACCTAGGGTAAGTGGGGCGTGCTGATCACCTGCGTCGACTCACGGCCACAGAATGCTGTGCCTTACAAGCTCCGCTGAGTGCCGGAGGCTGCCAAAGGAGCAGGCTGCCCTGCGATATGCACTGTTGCAGAGGGTCTGTCCAACCTGCTACTATCACAGCGGCTAATGTTCAGATGCATTGAAGGTGGCAAACGGGTTAGAAAGGCTCCATGCTGTGCCATGCTGCGCCGCCGGTGACCCATGCACCCACCGCCCTCTCTTGAGGTGGACCGATTAGTAAAGAAGTGACTTAGGACCGCCAAAGTCACAGCAGAATGGCGGCATTCATCAACAACAGGTGAGCAGGGCGCTTGATGGGGACCCTCAGTCGGAGTCTGAGCCGGGCGCCGACTCTCCCTGCTCATGGATGGCCTGCAGGGTTGCCTGCAGGCTGGCCAGCGACCGCCGCCACTGCCAGCTGCCCACGCGCTGCCCCGTCAGCATGTCATCCTCGCCCTCCACCTCCTCCGCCTCGGGGACGCCGCGGCTGCCCGACCGGCTGATTGGACGGCCCGCAGGCAGGCCTGCAAAGCGCGCCGCAGAGACAGGGGACCGCGGCGGCAGCGCCGTCGCGCTGGACGACGCAGAGGTGCTGCCAGACATGAACCGCGGGCTCTCCAGCTCCGCAGGCCCGGCCACCATGGCCGCATATCGTGCCAGGGGCACACCCGGGGTGGCGGTGAGGTCGCTGCGCTGCACGTCAGGCTGGTACTGCCAGTGTGGTGGGTAGTGCTGCTGCTGCTGCTGCTGGTACTGCTGCTGCTGCTGCTCGTGATACACAGTTTCCCAAGCTGGTGCTGCTAACTGCTCGTCCCTGGACGCTGCCGCCGCACCCGCCACATCCTGACCAGCGATCTCTTGAGATGGCCTTGCCAGCGTAGAGGCGTAGCGATCCAGCGGAACAGCCGGCCCCGCCGAAACTGTGCCAAGGTCTGGTGGTCCGCTGAGGCGTGCAGCCGGCTGCTGCCGGCTGCCGGCCTCGGATGCGACCGGGCCTTGCTGCGGCAGCAGCGCCGAGGGCCGTGCCAGGCTGGCGGCGTAGCGATCCATGGGGGCATCAGGAGTGGCTGTAGAGTCGCGGCCGAGCGCATCCACTGCCCACTGCATCGCTGGTTCCGCCGCTGGCCCTGCGCCTTGCCATTGGCTGCCGCCTCCTGGCCCTCCTGCTGCTGCTGCTGCTGCTGCTGCTGCTGCTGCCTCCACCCCTGCTGTCTCCCTGGCAGCCGCCGCCCACTGCGCTCGCGGCGACATTGCCTGCGGCCGATCCAGCACCTCGGCCAGCTGAGGGTTGCGCTCCTGCTGCGCTCGCGCCGGGGCGTGCGACTCTGGTGCTGCCAATGTACTGCCTGCAGGAGGGCCACACAAGCAGGCAGCGTGGAGAGGCTAAGGTTCCGGCCCGCCGCCTGCCCGCCAGCAGGCAGTTGGGAGGCCGGCTGATGCTCCATTTGCTGGTTGCTGTTGTGCATATGCACAGCAGGCTGGCTGGCTAGCTGGGATCCTCACCCCGGTGCAGGTACGCCCTGACGGCGGGGTGGTTGACTGCAGAGGTGTGGATGTGCAGCGTGGGCCGCGCCGCACCGCCGCTCTGGGCCCAAGCCACCGGCTCGACGTCAAAGAAGTGCGCCCACCGCACCCGTGGCTTGGCGTCACTGCACGCCAGGCGTGGGGCGTTGCTCAGTGGACTAATACCAGCTGCCTGAGAGCAGGGCTTCCTAGCTCGCCATGCTGGAGGGCCCGGTGACGGGCCAGCTGGCAGGCGGAGGCGCTGAGCTGGCGCCAGCTCACCTGCATTCCGCGGGCGCCCGGACCGTGGGCGAGAAGGTGAAGCCGTAGCGCACGTGCGCGTTCACGCGGTACGTGCGCTGCCGCATGCGGTTCTTGCCGCTGACGTGCAGGTACGATTGCAGCTGCAGGCAGGAGGGAGGCAGGCGGGCCGTGGCGGCAGGCAGGCCGTGAGAGAATTCAGCAAACACAGCCCTGGACCTGGGCTGGGGGATGTGCGGCAACAGATGGCCAGCCCACCCCAGCCCACCCATGCCCCCGCCCTGACCAGAGGCAGCTGGCGCCAGCTGTCTGCTGAGCTGCCTCCCGCCCCTGCTGCCTGACCAAGCTGAGCAGCATTCAGCCCGCGCGAGCCGAACAGCACTACAGTGCCGCAGTACAGTGTGCCGCAGGCACAGGATGGGCCTTAGGGGCTTACCAGTACCACGATCTCCGAGTCGGCATCCGCCGACAGGCCCCCGGGTTCCAGCCAGCTGGCCAGCGGCGACTTGTCGTCGATGCGGTGCACCACCTGCTGGGGCAGGCGCAGGTACAGGCGGTCTGTACCGCTCTTGTACCCGCACTGCGGGGCGGGAGGCAGGACAAGGCGGGAGGCAGGAGGGTCAGGGGCGATGGCAGGCAGGCACGATGCGACATAGGAGGAGGCAGGACAAGGCAGGGGACAAGCAGTGCTGCACGCAGGCGCCGTCGTGCTGTCGCTGGCAAGGCTGCAACCGGCTCCACCATCCCCGCCTGCCCACTCACGTCCAGCTGGTGCAGGGCGAAGGGGCTGCGGTCGGGGTTGGCGGCGCACCAGTCGGGCGCGCGCCAGCGGTAGAGGTAGATGCGGGCCATCACCTCCACCATCTGGTTGGGATAGGTGTCGGCCACCCTGCGATGCAGATGGCAGGGGCAGGCACAGGCGGGGGGCAGGGTGTGTGGAGGGCAGGGCAGGCAGAGGGTGTCATGCTGACTTGGTGTGCTCAGCAATATGCAAACGGTGCATCATATGACATACAGGTAGCGGCTACTGGCGAACCCTTGCGTCCCTGCCCGCCCTCCCCACCTGCACACCAGCTCCATCGCGCTGCTGCCGTCTGCCGCGGGGCGCACACACAGAACGTCTGACAGCACAAGCGTGTTCTCACCCAGCAGAGGGTAGGGCACCGCCCGCTTGGCCCGGTTGACAACCAACTGCGCACACGGGGCGCAGGAGCAGCGCAGAGCCAGCTCAGCGTCCAGCAGGCACAGCACAGCGCCTGAAACGTAGCAAGGCTGGCCCAAAGGAGCAGTTGCTGTCCAGTGAGAGCCAAGCGCTCCTGCTGCACACTGCTGCACAAGCGTGCCTGGGATGCCTGGGAGGGGGAGTCTGCTGCAGGGCAGAGGACATCGTGGAAGCTGCAGGTGGGATGCAGGGGCACAGCTTCAGGTGCAATGGCAGGCAGGACGGGGGCTCTGCCATGCTCCCGCAGCCCGCTGTGGCAGATGCAGCAAGCGCAGCGCAGAGAATAATGTGGCTGCAGGATGGGCAGTACCATTGGCGGTGAGAGTGCAGCACCACCCACTCACTGGTTGAGGTCCACGCTGTACCGCGGCCGCTCCTCGAAGGGCCCCGGCTGCCGGATGATCTCCTCAAAGTGGCAGCTCCAGTTGATCTCCTGGGCCAGGTAGGACTGGCGCGCAAAGAAGGGGTTGCCCGTCTGCGGCATTCATGCGGTGCAGCGGGTAGGGCGGCGCATGGCACGGCGTGTGAGACACTGAAGCAGCGCCCTCAACATGCGGGCCTTGGCCCAGCCAGGGGCGCAGCGCAAGCAAAGCATGCGTTTGAACTGCTGGCTGAAGGCCTGGTCAGCTCCGAGGCATCAAGCCCTGCATCCCTTGCAGCCCCGCCAGGCCGCTCTGCACATACAGCACCTCTGTGGTTGCCTCAAAGGTGACCACAATCTCTGCTTTCATGGCTGCCAGGGAGTCGTAGGTGTGGCCGCACAGCGGGCTGCGCTCATCTGCACGATGTAGGGCAGACAAGGGGCGCGGGAACAAGTTGCCAGCGGCAACGGCATCCCGACGAGGTCAAAGAGCTCCACACAGGGACCCTGTTCAGCACGCGGCATCAGGCGCCCGCCCGCCAGCACCAGCAGGCCCAGCCCCGCCTACCTATGGTGTGCTCGATGATGAGCGGCAGCAGCAGCATGCCATCGATGTAATCAATGTCCAGCTGCTCGCACCGCACTGCGGGGCGGGATGGGAGCACTCAGCAGTGGAGTTGGGGAGTTGGGGAGCACAAAACTGCCGCGCAGCAGAAGCCCACAGAGGAGGGGAGTGTGATGCGGCTCAGCGACGCCCAATAGACTCGTCGGCACACTGTGAGCACGGCCCCCTGCGTCTGACCAGCAGGCTGGCCGCCTGGCCCCACAGGCTCACCCTGGATCTTCTCCCCCTCCGCCGTCACCCGCCCCGCCCCCCAAGTGTACAGGAAGGCCTTCACCTTGGGCTCTATCACCTGCGGCAGCGGCGGGTGAAGCATTAAATGGTGTGATGTGTGGTGTGTCTGGTGGTGGTGTGGGTGGTAGAGGCAGGGCTGCGCTCGGCCTGGCAGCTCAGAGCGCGACCGGCCGGCGGCACCCTCCCCTCAGCCACAGGAAGCCCTGCTGGGCTGCCACCTGCGTGCGCCGGATGTCTGCCACCCGGAACATGAATTTGAGGATGCCGTCGCGGCGGGTGATGACCGAGCTGTCGCTGATGTAGATGGAGAAGGCGCGGTGCTTGGGGCTGGCCACCTGTCGGCGGCGAGGCGAGCATGGCGGGCAGGGGGCGGGTGGCAGCGGGTTGTAACACGCAGCTAGGGCTGCCAGCGGATGCTGCTGCTGCACAGGCCCAGAGCCGCGAAAGTGCAAAGCTGCGTGATGTCCGGTGCGGAAACGCAAGGGGAACGGGCAGACCTTGGCAAAGACGAGGCCCAGGATGACTGCGTTCAGCAGCAGGTCGGAGACGCCCTGGATGGAGATCAGCGCAGCCGCCAGGTAGCACTGCTGGGGCCCCGTGTTGCCGTAGCCTGCAGGCGGGAAGGCGGCCGGGCAGGCAGATGGGACGGAGAAGGCAGGTTGGGGTGCAATGGGCAGTGGAACATGCACATCCACCACCTCCCCACCACCACTGCCACACACGCGCGCATGACCACCACCATTATCACGCACCGATGGTCATCTGGGTTGCGATGGCAAAGGTCCAGCTCTCCACAAAGCCCGTGGCGCCGTACAGGCAGCCGGGGTAGAACCTGCGGCAGCGGCAATGGCAGGCCTGAGTAGCAGGGGCAGGGTCTGGGCAGCACGCACCCCACACGACTGAGGTGCGAGCCAGCTCCGGCACAGTGGCAGACCAGGACCTCTGCCCTCCATTTCACCATCAGACAACCACATGCCAGCAGCACAGCGCGACAGCAATCCCTCCATCAGCCCCGCCACCCAGCCCGCCACCCCTACGCCCACTCACTTCACCACCAGGTACCAGATGCCGCCCCAGAAGAAGAAGACGACCAGGTAGATGATCGCAAACCAGGCCAGGAGCGAGATCAGCGGGGTCTGGAGCATGGTGATGAAGAAGTCTCGCTTGAACAGGTGCATGCCGATGCCTGCCCCCGTATACTCCACACGCGACCGCCCCGCGTGCCTGCATCGAGGTGTGGTGCAGCGAGGGTGGGTGGGTTGTAGCCTGTCAGTGGTGGCGGTTAAGAGAGGCAGGGAGGAGAGGAGGGAGGAGGGAGCGGCAAAGCAGCCGCACAGCTGGCGGCGGCTACCCAAACAGGCGGAAGCACGAGGGGCGAGGCCGGCAGCGATGTGCGGCGCCTCACTTGCCGCTCTCCACCAGAGCGGGCAGGTTGAGCTGCTCGCGGACAGCCTCGTTCAGCCCCTTGCCGCGGTTGAAGTAGTCTTCCTGTGGCACCACAGCAGGAGAGGGCGGGGCAGGGGCAAGCGGCCCAGTTGGCATCACGACCCGCAGTGCGACTGGCTGCCAACGGCGGTGAATGGGGCAGCTGCCAAGCCGCCGCCATCACTCGCAAAGCATCGATACCAAAGCACAGAGGGGCAGGTTGGAAGCTGTGCGGCGCGGGGCAGAGGGTGCTGAAGGGCACCACAGCAGCAGCCAGGCACCTGGAGCAGCCCGCCCGCTGAATGCGACCGCCCCATGCCGGCAATGTCTCCAAAGCTGAAGTGGTCCCTGCAGCGTGAAAGCGGCATGCCAGCATTCAGCGTGAGGCAGCTGACAGGCTGGGGCAGGGCTGGGGCAGACGGGGGGCAAGGGTAGGGCAAGCCGAGAAGGCACCAGCCAGGGTTCCAGCTGGCGCGCGCCCCGTGCCTCACCCTGGCAAGTCGATCAGCCGCTCCAAAGTGTGCTGCCCCTGCCTGGGCTGGCTCGCCCCTGTTGCGCTGGTCACCGACAGGGCCGGCGACCTGCTGCGCTCTATTTCCGCTGCCGCGGCCACTGCCGCCGACCATGCTGCCGTTGCCGCTGCCTCCCCCGAGTCGGGCGCCATGGGGGGGCGCCGCCCCAAAAGCGGCATCTTCATGCCGTCCCCATCCGAGGGGAGGCTCCAAGGGGAGCTGCCTGCTATAGTGGCCCCAGCTGATTTGCAGGGTTGGCGCTAGAGGCCCCACCGGAGCTTGGGATGCTGGCAGAGATGTTGATCGATTTGAGGATAGCGACGGGGGTCAGGACTGGCTCATCCGACAGCGCAGGGGAGAGGGTTGAGCTGGGCGCCCACGTGGAGGCCGTGGCACCCACAGCAGCCTGATGTGCTAGCCCCTGCAATCAATTGGTGAGCCCGATGCAGATAGGGCCTTGGACAGCGCCCCGCCCATCCCCCTGCTCCCTTTCGTTTGAGTTGTGATCGGTCGGGGCTCCAGGCGCTGGCGTCGATTGAACGCCCCCAGGCGACGCAGCAGGCCAATCTGAGATTCATCAGCACCCAGTCCAACGCAGCTGTTCAGCACTTGAGCAGCCTGCCATGACCCACCCGCTGGGTGATGCCCCCCTGGGGCGGCAGGGTCGGCAGCCAATCCCAGCAAACTTGACGCGCCCCGTCACGGCCTGGGCAGGCCGGGGGCAGCGGATCGTCTGCCGCGCCGCGCTGCCGCCGCCACCCGCCAGGGCGGCAGAGCGGGAAAGTGTTTCAGCCACTTCCGGCTGGGCCGCAGGCCTGCAGCCGGCCAGCAGCGGTGCGATTGGGGCCTACCCCATCGCCAGCGACTGACTGGCCCACTACAGGCACCTGGCCAGCCTGCCGCTGAGCACCCAGGATGCGGTGGTGGAGCAGCTGCGCCGCTTGTTGGGCAGGGGCGACCGCTGGGCCTGGCAGGTGGATGGTGACGAGCTCTGCTCAGAAGCCGAGGAGGAGCTTGCGGATGGAGAGGAAGACGCAGCAGCAGGCGTGGGCGATGAGGAGGAGCAGCAGCAGCAGCAGCCGGCCGCAGTGCTGTCCAGCCGGGGAGCTGGGCGGCGCAGCGGCAGGCAGCGTGGCAGCCGCGGCCAGGTGCTGGCGGGGGCTGTGGACTACAGCAGCCGCCCGGCGCAGCCTTGGAGCCGGCGGGGCAACCCGCTGCCTGCAGGCCTCCAGGTGGCTGTTCGGTGCTGAGGATTTCACTTGTGCAATGGGTGCATTTGAGCAGCACCAACATCTCCTCCCAACCCCAATGCACCAATACTCATCCTGCCCCCGCGCCTGCTGTTCTGCGGTGCTTCCCTCCTGTCCCTGCAGGTACACGGCGCAGGCCAGCTGCTCACAGCAGAGCAGGAGACGGTGCTTGGCGAGCTGGTGCAGGCAGCCAAGCAGGCGCGGCAGGAGCTCGAGAGGGGACAGGGACAGAAGCGGCTACCTCAGTCGGCTGCTGCAACTGGGTCCAGCAGCACTGGCGGCATCAGCGGCAGCGGCAGCCAGCTGCAGCCAGTACCGCGGGACGAGCTTGAGCTGGCGATGTGGCGTGGCGCAGCTGCCCAGCAGCTGCTGTTCTGCGCCAACCCCCGCCTCGTCTCCCTCGCGCTGCGCAAGCTGCAGGGCGGCGTGCAGCTGCCGTCCAACCTGCTGCAGGCAAGGCGCCGGCGCAGCCTCTAGCCAGCATTCCTGAGACGCGCCTGACCCTCGGTTCTTTGCCGGCGCGCTCTGTTGGCTTCTGAGCTGCTCACCGCTCTCCCGAGCTGCTCATGTGCCGCTCATTGCTGCAGGAGCTGCGCAATGCCGGCCTCGATGCGCTGTGGAGCGCCGCCGCCGCCTACAACCCGGCGCGGCACACTCGCTTCTCCACCTATGCAGTGGCAGCCATCCAGAATGGCATGAGGGATGTGCTGGCAGGGCAGCAGCTCGTGCGTGTGCCGCGCAATGGATGGGCGCTGGCCAAGCAGGTATGTGAAGTGGCGCCCTTTGCCACGATCTGCAACTATGGCAGCATGCACGCTGTTTTTTTTCTTCCAGTTTTTTGTTTGTGTTGTGCTGCTTGCACAAGAGGCGGGATGCAATCGCATGTAAGTAAGCGATCGCCACTGCTCAATGATGCTTGCAGGTCCAGAGTGCAATGGCGCGCTGTGCCAGGCAGAGCAGCAAGGGGCAGCTCGGCGGCAGGCAGCCAGCAAGATGGCACAGCTGGCCGCCCAGGCGCAGCTGTCGCAGCTGCAAGTGCGGCACGGCCTGGCGGCCGCACGGAGGCAGCGCGTCGCGAGCCTCAGAAGCTGCATCCCTATTGAGGCGGCAGCAGGGGGCGAGATGCTGGCTCCATTCAGCGATGTGGCGGAGGCGGACGAGGTGGGTGAAAGGAAGGAACCATGAACTGGCCCCATGCCTGCAAGCTCTGCCTTGTGTTTGCCGACGCCATCAGAGTGCCCTCTTCTGGCACGCCATGCTGGATACAGGCCCTGCTGCTCGTGTTTGTTCCTGCAGGATTCTGCCGCCGATGAAGATGCGGCACAGGAGGCAGTACAGCTGCTGCTGTCCCGCATGCGGCACGCCAGGCACGAGCGAGTGCTGCGCCTGCGCTTTGGCCTGGATGCCAGCCCCGGCGCTCCTGAGGCGGCAGCGAGCAAGGTCGATTTCGGGACGCTGGGAAAGCAGCTGGGGGTGAGGAGCCGTTCTGCTGCTGCTGCCGTGCTGCTGCTGTGGCTCGCTCCACCATGCTGCTGTGGAGGGTGTTTGTTGATGGGGTCCCAGCAGGTGCCTGCGCGCCTGTCCACTGCTTCTATTGGCAGCCTGCCAATCGTCCTGCCATGCCCTATCTTGCAGGTGAGCCGCCAGCGGGCACAGCAGCTGTACCATGCCGCCATCTCCAACGCTCGCAGCGCCGCAGCGGCTGTGGGCCTGGCCTGACTGCTGCTGCCCCCTGCAGCCAGCACGTGCTGGCACCAGCCGCGCCGTGATTCCAAGCGAGGCTTCAACAGCCTCCGAACATCTATGCCTGTACACTACACCCCCACCCGACCCCGCCCATATTGTCTAGCCGTCCATCTGCTCTCAACTCTATGCGCCGTGCAATCCATCCGCCGCCATGCTCTCAAGTGCATGTGATTCCATTTGTCCGTCGCCCCTTGCCTGCACTGTACCTGCACCCTGCTGTTGCCATTGATTCTCTTCGGTGTCTGCACGGCACCTGTTGTTCCAATTGTAAGAGAGAGCGTCAAGTCACGGGTTGCCAGGGCCAAACGCAGCTGTCAGGACGCGGGGTTTTCTCCTGCCGCCGCTGCCCCTCCTGCCGCTCCTCCCTCGGCTCCTCCTGCGTCTGCCGCTGCTGCAGCCGTGTCCAGCCCGATCCAGGCATCCTCCCCAGACTGCTGGTCTGCTCCCTCCCGGTCGGCGGCCTCCCCAAACAGCAGCAGGTCCTGGCGGGCGCTGAACCCTGTCGCCAGCTTCCGCCCGTGCAGGCCCCTGCGACACGGCAGCAGACAGGCACAGCAAGGGCGAGCCAAGCATGTAGGCTCAGCAAGGCGCCTACTGGCTGGCGGCGCCACAGCCCGTTCATCCAATCTGCACACCCACACCCACACCCACACCCACACACATATAGCGCACCTGTAGGTGCCGTTGACGTAGGCCAGGATGGCGGCGTGGATCTTCTGGAACAGGGGGCGGGCGGCGGTGAAAGGGACGGCCAAGTACTCTTCCAGCCCCATCCACCGCACCCCCACCAGCTCGTCTTCCTGCATGCATAGCTCCTGCAGCACGGACCAGGCAACGGCGGCAGATGGCTGGGCGGGCGGTGGCTGTGTGGTACAGGGGCAGCAGGCCCGCAAAGCCGCGGCCGCCGCCAGAAAACGGTGCCCCAAACCCCGAGCAGCATGCACAGCATGCACAGCACACGCGCCTGCGGCCCCGCCTCCATCTTGAGCGCCACCACGAAGAACATGTCGCTCTTTCCAAAGGCAAAGCCGTGGGCCTGGCGCATGGCCAGCACCGCGTCGAACCGCGCACGGATGCCCGTCTCCTCCAGCACCTCGCGCTCCGCCGCCTCGCTGATGTCCTCGCCTTGCTGCAGGCGGCGAGGTCAAGAGGAGAATGGGAGCAGGCAATGGTGGAGGTGTCTGGTTCCCAGCGTCGGCAGGGATGCCAAGGGCAGGCAGCAGAGCGACAACTACAGAGGCGGCATGCGGAGGCCACAACCCGGGGGGGCGGCCTCTGCCGGCCCTGCCGCGAAGCCAGCCCACCTGCACCAGCCCGGTGGGCATCTTCCACACACCCTGGCCCCGCAGCGGCCCGCTGCGCTCCTGCACCACCAGCACCTCGCGCCGCTCGTTCATCACAAAGGCGCCCATGCCCACTTGGTGGCTGGCATTGGGGGGCAGCTTGTTCTCGCTAGAGGGCAGCCAGCGGGTGAGCATCACATACTCCTGAGGCAGGCGGGTGGGTGGGTGAGCACATGCGACTGTTAAGGGTGTGTGGTGGTCATGTGTGCTGGGATTACAAGCTAAGATGGTGGAAGGGTTGGGATGGCATCCAATTCGCAGCATGGAGCATACCACACTGTGCTCGGCCCCCTGTGGCGGCTGCGTCACACCTTCTCGGCGTGGTGGAACTCAAAGCCTCGGTCCACAGCATGCCCAATCACGTGCGCCTTGGCGGCCGGCATCTTGAGCCAGATGCCCCGGTAGCCTTTCTGCGGCCAGGCAGTGGGGAGGGGAGGGAGCGGTTGGTGGATTGCCCAGCATGGTGGAGGGCCAGCAACCGCAATCACCTGTTGCCACACTGCCAGCGAGGCGTCCAGCGCCACCCCAAACTCGCCGGGTGCCGCCGGCACGCTTTGCTCGTCGCAGATGAATCCATCATACGCGTCCTCGTGGCCGCTGATGAGGGCGGCTGCGGGGGCCCCGGGGGACATGGCACTGACTGCTGCGCCGCTGCCTGCTTACCGGCAGAGGTAGGCGGGTGTGGGAAGCAAAGGCAGGCGGGGAGACAGGCAGGCAGAGGGATGAGTGCACGTGCAACACTTGCACTGGTCAGGAGTGATAACATAATAGTGATGCAGAGTGTGAAAAGAAGAGCCGAGTGAAGATGGCACAGTTGCACGGGCCACTCCCTACACCGCCCGCCCTGAGTTGGCGGAGCCCAGCAGGCATAGCATGGCGTGGTGCCAAGGGGTTCACAGCTGGGATCAACAAGGGTTCGGCGTCGCGCATGACGTCCCGCAACACAAATGGAACTAATTTGAGCGCTGGTACAACGCAGAGGCAGTCCAAGCCAAGGAGCAGCAAGCTGACCTGCGCGAATGGGCGGCCGGGAAGGCGGCCGATGCCTGCTGTAAGGTCTGGCGGCGATTCTGATCAAACCGGGGACGCCGCTGGGCAATTTACAGGTCTGCAGTGTGGCGAGCATGAACGAAGCACCTGCAGAGAGGGCCGACGCGCCGTGGCCGGCCTTCAGAACGTGCAGCTGTGGTCAAGGAGGTCTGGGACGAGGTGGGAGTCAAAGAAGGCGCCCGCATTTGGCCGCGCTGCATCACAGAAGAAAGACGCCCGACTTCATGCAGGGCCCCACGCCTCACGGTCTCTTGTAGTGGTCATGCCCTCGTGAGCGTGAGCCGAAGAGCATGCCGCCAAAGGCTAAGAAGCAGGAGCCGCCCGAACTCTTAGCAATCGCCGCGGCGCCCTGTTTCACCCCCACAGCCGAGGAATGGCAGGACCCGCTGGCATACATAGCGGAGGTGGTGAGGTGAGGGGGTCGGAAGGTGCAGGGAGAGGCTGGGGCGGCCAGGCCGCTGCAGCTTTACGCTCCGCCCCCTGCGCACGTGGGAGTGCCGCCGCAGCCAAGCCAGCAGCGCAGCCCGCCACCCCGCACAGAGCTCCCCCTTCCTTCTGTCCACCGCCACAGGCCGGCGGTGGAGCACACGGCGGGCATCTGCCGCATCGTGCCGCCTGCGGCATGGGTGGAGGGCGTGGCGGATGCCTTTGCCATCGACCGCGCCTCCCTCAAGTTCAACGCCCGCGTGCAGCGCGTGGACCAGCTGCAGCGCAAGCACACCGCGGTTGCCAGCCAGCGCTTCTGGAATGAGTACCACGCCTGGATGGCGGCCAACGGCATCAAGCGCAAGGGCGGCAAGCTCAACCCCGTGTTCAACGGCCAGGAGATTGAGCTGGACCGCTTCCATTCGGTGGTGGCACGCCGCGGAGGCTATGAGGCCGTCACTGAGGACAAGAGCTGGCGAGAGATTGCCAACGTGCTGGACGTGAGTGGGATTAGATTGTGTGGGGGGCATGGGCAGCGCTTTCGGGGCACGACAGGTGCAGGGCTGGTGGCGGGGTTGTGGCGTTGGGGCACGCGGCGCGGCGTTCCATGCCTGGCAGCAGGCATTCGCAGCGCTGCTTGTGTGCAGCTGCAAATGAGCAGCATGCTGCCCTTGGGACGGAGCCCTCCAAACAATTGCCCCCCGCCGCTGGGCCCCGCCTGCAGCTCGAGGACAAGGCTGGCAATGCTGCCTTCACGCTGCGCAAGCTCTATGAGAAGCTGCTGATGCCCTTTGACGAGCACTGCCAGAAGCGGGCGGAGGGAGGCTATGGGCTGCTGGGTGAGCTTGGGCTGACGGTGCAGCGGCGTGGGTTGGGCACCGCTCGGTGGGGGCCCCTGGCCCAGAGCCTGGGCCTCCGGCGAACCTGCTGGCGGCCTCTAGCAAGCATTCACGCCTGCCAGAAGCTATCCACGCGGCGTCTGCGCTTAACGGAGCGCTCCCAAGGCAGACTGGCAAACAATTGCTCAGTGCCTGGCCCGTTCCCCTGCCCCCGCTTGCCGTCCCTGCAGACGCCGCGATGTCCGCCCAGGCATCGGAAAGCAAGGCGGCGCCCTTGCAGGCAGGCGTGGACGAGGACGAGGCCGCCGAAATCCTGTCGGCAATGCTGGGCCTGACGCCTCCAGGGGCCAAGAAGAAGCGCAAGGGAGGCTCCAAGGTGGGTATGGAAGACCCGTCGGCGCAAGGTTTTGGGCCGCTGGGCGCTGTGCTGGCGGCGGCTGGTGCCACCGCCACCTGCGACTGGAGGGCTTGCCTGGCCTATCCGCCCATCTGGACCCCTCCCTGGCACCTTTCCACGTCGCCCTGCAGGGCGTTAAGGCCGGCAAGGGCGAGGCAGAGGCGTCTGTGGCGCCCAGGCCGCCGCCGTCGGCGTGCGAGAAGTGCCGGGGCGGGCACATGGCGGAGAAGCTGGTGCAGTGCGACCGCTGCGACAAGGGCTGGCACCTGTTCTGCCTGGCGCCGCAGCTGGCGGCGCTGCCCCAGGGCGACTGGGTCTGCCCCGACTGCCGCACCAAGGGTGAGGCGGCGCCACAGCGGGCAGACATATGTCAACCTGCTGTTTTGTTGTGCGGAGCGGCCTGTGTTGCGTCTGCGCTGTCTCCCACCCAACCCAACGCTAGGCACCTTCCACACCCACCCATACACCACTACCTTCGCCACCACGCCTCCACCATCACCCTGCCCTTGCCGTTGCCCTGCGGCCCTTCCTCCCTTGCAGAGTTTGAGGCCTTTGCCTTCCAGGATGCCGACGACTACACGCTGGAAGAGTTTGAGCAGATCGCGGCCACCTTTGAGGAGCAGTGGTTTGGGGCGGAGGCGGCGGGCAAGGTGAGGGCCGGCGTGTGGAGCTGTTTGTAAGTAGTTTCTTGGGGCAGCGCTGGAACAAGCTGCCGGCATGACCCCTGACAATCAGGGGTTCACTGCCGCTGTCGCAACAAGCTATAAGGTGAGGGGTGCACCCTAGGTTTCCACTCATCCTCCTCCCCGCCGCCCCTCCTGCGCTCCCCGCGCCTGGCAGCTGAGCGACCAGGAGAAGGAGGCGGAGTTCTGGCGCATTGTGGAGGACGGCGAGGATGTGGTGGAGGTGGGCGCAGCTTGCTTGCTTTCTTTTTGGGTTTGCAGGCACCCTGGGTTCAACTAGAGAAGAGGAGGGAGAGAAGCTTCTTTGCATGCAGCACAGGGCCGGCCTGCACTGGCTGGCGCGGCCGCCTGCTACGGCAGAACGCAGCCACCACCACCCCGCGACTTTCTTGCTCCTCTCCCTTCACCTCTGCCCACCTGCCTGCCTGCCCACCTGCCCGCCTGCCCGGCACTGCAGGTGCTGTACGGTGCTGACCTGGACAGCGGCGAGGTGGGGTCGGGCTTCCCGCGGGCGCCGCCACTGGGCACCAGGTGCGCTGTGGGGCTGCTCCCCTGACAGCGGTCGCCATCCTCGAGCGCCTCGCGGCAGAGGTAGCACCCGGCCATCCCATCACGTCGTGCCCAGCACCCGCCTGCCTGCCTGCCTGATTGCCTGCCTGCTCACCTCCCCGCCTCCCTGCCCGCCTGTCTGGCTATGCAGCGACAGCCCGCTGGCCAAAGACCCCTGGAACCTCAGCGTGCTGCCGCGCCAGGCGGGCCGCCACTCCTCGCTGCTGCGCGTGCTGGATGGCCACATCGCGGGTGAGCCCGCCTGCAACCGCCGGCACGCAGCGTTTTACTTTATCACTACCGCCTCGTCTTGTCCCTCGTCCCTTGAACGACCGTCTCCTCCTCCATGCTCCTGGCAGCCGTGTTGCGCCTGGGTGGCTCGGGCTGGCTGTGCCCCTGCCCGCCCCACGCTCCGCCACCCACCCGCCCGCCCACCTTGTCCCCCACACCCCTCGCCTCCCATTCCCCCTCCCCCTGCCCCCGCCGCTGAGCGCAGGCGTGACGGTGCCCTGGGTGTATGTGGGCATGTGCTTCAGCAGCTTCTGCTGGCATGTGGAGGACCACATGTTCTACTCCATCAACTACAACCACTGGGGGGCCGCCAAGCAGTGGTGAGGGTGGGGTGGGGCGGGCAACCGAGAAGAGGGCTTGTTGTGGGCGTGGTGGGGTCGCTGCAACCGCTGGAGGGTGGCCACGCAGCAGCCGTGGGGCTGGGGTGGGGCGGACAGAAATGGGGTTTGGGGGAGGTAGGGGATGTGAATACGTCGCCAGGGCATTGGACATGTGGAGGTGACAGCCGGTGCTGGCTCGCCTTCCCAGGGCAGGCGCCGCACATGTTGCGGTCCCGCTCCGGCCTGCCACTCACTGCTGCGGCCCGTGCCTGCCCGCCCTGCAGGTACGGCGTGCCCGCCTGGGCCGCGTCCCGCTTTGAGGCGGTGTTCCGCGCCGAGCTGGCAGACCAGATTGAGGCGCAGGTGGGCGTGGGCGGGAGGCGGGAGGGCGGCATGCTGCCCTTATTGGCAGCCAGCCGCCGGCCCGTTAACGTCGACATCCTCCCGCCTTCCCTGGCTGGCCACGCCCCCAACCAGCCCTCGCCCAGCCACGCCTACACCACCCTTAACCTCCCGTTCGTCCCCTCACCTTCCACCATCTTCCACCCTGCCACCCCCCCCCACC